GGGGGCTGTGAAGCACAGGTGGAGCAGGGCTGGCAGGTGGGTACAGCCTGGCTGGGTGCTCACCCCACCTCTCAGCTCCGCAGGCAGTCGGTGAAGGAAGAAGAAGCACCCAGGGGCAGCAAGACCAACACGGAGAAGAAAGAGAAGAAGGAGGAGGAGGAGGAGACCAAGCCTGCTGCCCCCTCCACTGAGGAGAAATCCCAGCTGAGGAGTGACTGGCGGCTGTACCGTGGCCATCACCCCCTCTCCTTCCTGGGGCTCGAGGACCCCCTCTTCCTGCGGCACAACTACTACCGCAGCCCTGCCTTCGACCCCGACTACCCGTTCCCGCGGAAATCCGCCTTCTCCCCCTACAACAGGCGGGTGAGTGAGGGCTCCTACCGCTTCAGCCCCGACTCCATGTACAGCCGGGCCTACTACGGCAACGTGTACACTCCTGTCTTCAAGAAGGACTGAGCCAGTGGGCGGTGCAAGCACATCCCAGCCCCTCTCAAATCCCCTCAGCACGCTTTGCCTGGGCCCCTGCCAGCTTCCCACACACACCCCTGTTCCAGGACAGGAGCTTAAAGTGGTAGACAGGCCATGGGATAGCTTATTCTGGAGTGCATCAAGGCCAGGATGGGGGAATAAAGGCAACCAAAAGCCCTGCTGCCAGAAGGAGAAGGTAGGGGAAGGTGGGACTAGGAAGGTGAAGGAGATGTGGAAAGAGTGGTGAGACCAGAAGAAGGGACCACCCAGGGCTGGCACTGGGCTACCTTGGGCCCTGCTCAGCAGACAGGGTGAACTTAGATGGGCTATACATTGGGAGAGAGAGGGGAGGATGGCAAAGCTGTCAAACATCACCATATCAAGCCTACTTCCCCATCCTTCCTCCCTCCATCCCCCCTTGCAGGGCTCATCCCTAGGCACAGATTGCTCCTCCATGGAGGGGCTGAAGATCCCCACCAACCAGCAGGATTCATGAGTGGGAAAGCCCTGGGCACTTCTGTCCCAGCTGGGATGGATGGTGGGGTCAGGAAAAGGAACAGGTGGAGCTCCTGGAGCCCCTCTCCCACAGGATCACCTGGCTTCCCACACCACCTTGTTGTATCGGCTGCAATAATAAATCTGCAATAATAAACCACCCACCGGTCACCCCATCTGCTCGGCTCCTCTGTGGGAGTGAGACACCAAACCAAGGGAACACAGTGGGGTGAGACCCCCGACTCAGGGCCAAGGGAGTGGGTGCGAGAAACATCCTGTCACATTCCCTGTGGGGAGCTGCCACTGGGAGAGTGGGTGCTCATGCCCAGCACGGTACATGTCTCTTCCCATGCCCCAAGCACAAATTCACAGCTCCAAGGAGCCGGGGCTTCCTGCCAAAGACAATTTATTGCATTTCCAGAAGAACACAGCAGAGAAATCAGTGTCCCTACAGCACGCACAAACCCTCTTCCAATACACTGCTTTCCCAGGGCACGAAGAAAAAGGTTTAGGAGAGGCAGGAAAAAGCCTCCCAGCAGCAGAGGTTTCAGCGACGAGCCCAGCGACCCCTTTCCCCAACTCCTTTCCTCCCCGGGGACGGGCAGCCCTACAGGAGTGGCTTGGGAAGGCGTGTGGTGCAATTCCCATGCTGGGAAGGAGCCCCGCGCCTGGCTTTTCCCAGGCACAGCCTGTACAGCGCTCGCCCGCACAAGGGAAACGGCTGAGATCGCTGAAAGGCTGTGGGGGAGAGGGCCGTGAGCACGACTGTTCAAAAGCACGGCAGGGGGATGGGAGGCACCAGCCCTCTCCAAAGTCCCCCAGGAGTGCCGGTGCCCTGGGCTCTGGGATGCTCTCACTCGGGATACACACGTGGGAACTGCCAGTGCCTCCCCAGTGGAGAGAGCCCCACCTCTCCAGCTCATGGGTGCTCCAGGGTTACTGAAGAGGATCCTGATGAGGGTTAAACAGGAATAAGGATCCCAGAGTAGGAGTGGAGAGACAGGCAGTCGTGTGCTGTACAAGAGCAGGATATCCTCCCTAATCGCTGACAGGAGCTAGGGATGCTGCTGCCTGGAGCTTTGGCAAAACCCCCCCGTGGTTTCCAGTGTTGGAGGACAGAAGGAGAAAGCAGGAGGCACCTAAAGAGCTGGTACAGCAAAGAGATGAGCCTGTCCCACAGCAGAGCCAAGAGTAACCCACTACAGTCCTCGGCTGCACCGGCTGTGCGAGGCAGGACACCCTGACACTAGGAGGACAGCAAGGAACCCGTCACACTTATGGGAAGGGACACACCATCTCCATGGGCACCCAGCGAGGAGGCTTGGCCCAGCAGGGCAGCACAGAGAGCAGCAACACCCGTGCAGGAGCTCAGAGGGAGTCTGTTCGCTTACGGGCAAACACAGCCGACATGGTCTTGACGATGCCACGGATCCCTGTGCCCTTCTTCAGGGCCAGCTTGGTGTCTGGGATGAGCTTGGCCAGTCCATGGAAGACCATGAGGGCCCCGTGATAAGCTTCAGCTGCAGAGACCTCATAGAAACCGCAGTCTAAAGAGAGGGCCAGGAGCCGCCCCTCCTCGCTGGACACCACCCGCTGGTGGTGCAGGTCCCTTTTGTTGCCCACAATGACTATGGGCACCTTCTCCTGGCTCTGCCCCTCCTTGGCAGCCTTGATAAACTGGATTTTGAGGGGCAGGATGTTGAAGCTGGCACGGTCACAGATACTGTAGACCAGGACAAAGCTGTCTGCCCACTGGATTCGCTTCTCCTCTGAGGAGCCATCCTCTGCCTGCTCCTGGGGAAAGAGAAAAGGAAGGGTTGTTTTATTGGGCTCCCTCCCTCTAGGCCTGCCTGATAGAAGAGGGCAATCTTGAGCCTGTCGGGACAGGCTCTAGGGACAGCTAGAGAACAGAAAAAGGGCAGAGAGAAAGAGGAGTACCAAGGAGGGCAGAGCAGCACCTGGCAGCACTAACCAAGGGGTGGGGGGGTGATTCAGCTTTCAGCATCACACCCTAATCCCAACCCTCACCCAGCTGCCAAGCACTGCAGGCTGTAGGTGATAACAGTGTGGGGACCTCAGAGCAGCACCTCACTTCTTTATCAGAGTCCTGTATTAGCATCAGTGCTTCAGCTCCAGTGTTCTCAGCCAGAGGGCCATGGGCTATGGGAACTATTGCTACCCTGGCAGCAACATTGCTGTCCTCTGCTTGGCAGGTGAGAAGAGTTCAGTCACTTATGAACCCTCTGATTTGAAAGCCTTGCTCAACTGGACCTCCCAACCCGTGGTTTCCCCATAGGTAACTTCCAGAAAAGAGGTTTTTTGTCCCTGGGGTAGAAACCGGTGATAGGAGTGGAGCCCTCTCACCTGGGAACTGGGGACGTCCCAGATGTGTAAGAGGATCTCTCGGCCATCCACAGTCAGGTTGTGGCTGTAGATAAATTCTGCACTCCCAAAAAGAAAAAAAAAAATAGTCATCTTCATGGTGTCACCAGCTGCCACCCTGGACCTTTTGCACCCCAGAGAAGCAGCTCTGGAGCAAAGAGATGCGTCACTGAACAAATACAACACTGAGCCCCTGGGAGCAGGCAAAGGCTCTGGAGAAAGCCAGGAGGGGATGGGCTGAAATGAAATCCCACAGGCAGAAGCAGGCTTGTCTCTCAACCCCAGTCCCTGCTGGGAACTGGCCTGGCCCTGGCCTGGCACTCACCCATGTCTCCATACTCTCCAATAAAGCGCCGGGTCAGGAAACGCACGGTCAGAGCTGCAGACAGAAGGACGGGAATCATCAGAATGACCTAAAACCTGGAGGATTCTCCTTTCTAAATCCAGAGCACAGTCAGGCACCATCCCCTTGTAAACTCCTACAAGCAGGAACGACCTCTGAGTTTCCTCAGCTAGCAGCAGGTTTGCGAGTGCAGCAGAGGCACAGCACGAACCAAAGCATCTGCACGCTCCGGAGCATCAGCAAACTGCAGCTCAGTGGAAAATCCCTTCCCCTGTCATTCCCCGGCTGGCTACAAGGTTGTGCTCGGCTTCCCCACCTTGAATCACAGCTGCTGCACCCCAGGGGCTCAGCCCCATCTCACCAATTTGCTCCATGGGCTGCTCCCTGCCTCTGGTCCTCCAAAACCCGCTGCAGTTTTCAGCCTGGGAACAGTTCACGGTCAGTTCTCACCTGATTTCCCTACGCTGTCTGCTCCCATGACAAGGACGTTTGCTTCCATCTTCAGGGCAGTGGGGCCAGGTACCTCCATGAGGGCAGGGTGGTCGGGGGTGAAGCTGGTGCTCCGGCGCAGTGGGAGCCGCAGCCCCATGCCGAGAGTGGCCGAGCCCCTCGGACGGTCCCAGCCGTGTGCACAGCCCGGCTCGGCACAGCCCGGCTCGGCACAGCCGCCAGCCCAGCGCTTCCCACGGCACCCAGGGGACCCACGAGGCCCATACCCCTCCCCGCAGCCGCAGGGGCGGTGCAGAGGGAACTGCAGGCAGCCGGATGAAAAACTTTGTCATCGCTCAGACTGTCCTGAGCACACACACGTCAGCGGCTGAGCCGGCCCCGCCAGCCCCCGGCACGGCGGGCGGCCGGGCGGCACCGGCTGTCGGTACCGGCTGTCGGCACCGGCTGCTCCGCAAGCCGCATCCCCGGCTCTGCCCACGCCCCCGCCTCGCAGCACTTTGTGCCTCGGCAGGGCCACGCAGCCCCTCGTCCCTTCCCCACGGTGACCGCGGGGATGTCAGCCGGGAGCGGAGCAGCGTCACCGCTGCTGGGGCGTCTCGTCAGGGATGGAGCAGCTGATGAGGGACCCGAGTCCCTTTGGCTGACGGAGCATCTCATGGGTGGTGGAACTTTTGTTTCACCAGGGACGGAACAGCTCACGACTAACGGAGCGCTGCATAGAATCCCCCGTGAGCGATGAAGCATCCCAAGAGTGACGGAGCATCTCCCGAGCGATGGAGCTTCTCCGGAGCACCGGGGAGCCGCCGCGCAACGCCCGCAGCCACGGGGCCGCTCTCCCCGCGGTGCAACGAGGACCGGCCGCATCCTCCTCCGCGGCCCCTCGCATCCTCGTCCCCGTCCCCTCGCATCCTCGTCCCCGGCCCCTCGTACCCTCCCCCGGCCCGGGAGGAGCCGCTGACGCCATCGCGGCGCGCCGGGCGCGGCCATGGCGGCGGAGGCGGCGGTGGTGCGGGTGGCGGTGCGGGTGCGGCCGCTGCTGCCCCGGGAGGCGCTGCGGGGACACCGGCCCTGCCTGCGGAGCGATGCCGCCACCGGAGAGGTGGCGCTGGGCCGCCGCCGGTTCCGCTTCGCCGCCGTGCTGCCCGAGGCGGCGGGGCAGGCAGCCGTGTACCGGGCCTGCGTGCAGCCGCTGCTGCGCGCCTTCTTCCGCGGCTTCAACGCCACCGTCTTCGCCTACGGACAGACCGGCTCCGGCAAGACCTACACCATCGGGGAGGCCAGCGTCGGTGAGTCTCGCCGGGACCGGCGGCTCCGTGCCCGCCAGCATCCCTGCTCCGCTAGCATGCCTGTTCCTCCAGTATCCCTGTCCCGCCAGCATCCCTGCTCCGCTAGCATCCCTGTTCCTCCAGTATCCCTGTTCCTCCAGTATCCCTGTCCCGCCAGTATCCCTGTTTCTCCAGCATCCCTGTCCCGCCAGCATCCCTGTTCCTCCAGTATCCTTGTCCCGCTAGCATCCCTGTTCCTCCAGTATCCTTGTCCCGCCAGCATCCCTGCTCCGCTAGCATGCCTGTTCCTCCAGTATCCCTGTCCCGCTAGCATCCCTGTTCCTCCAGTATCCCTGTTCCTCCAGCATCCCTGTTCCTCCAGCATCCCAGTTCCTCCAGTATCCCTGCTCCGCCACCATCCCTGCTCCACCAGCATCCTTGTCCTGCCAGCATCCCCACTACCCCCCTGCCCTCTCCACCAGCCCCACGTCACCACCTCCTTCCATCTCCACGTCATTCCATGCCCAGCCAAGCCACCCACACCATTATCCCAGCCACCTCTCCCAACCCACCAGCCCCACTGATGCTGCTGTCCACACCCATTTCAGCACCTTTGCTCTCTTTATCCAAACCCAACTGCATCTTCATCATCTCCTTCACTTCCAGTGAATCCAGCATCATCACTTCCAGTTTCACTCCCAAACAACCCTTCCACCCTGCCAGCCCCTCCAGCTCAAGCCAACCTCCCCCCACCATCCCATCCCCAGCAGCCTTTCCTTTCCCCCTACCTGTGTTGCTGTAGCCACCCCCCAAAGATGTGTCTCCACACCTTTGAGATCACAGTGTCTAGGTTTCTCCTCTTTCACTGCAGGACAAGTGACAGGACCTGGTCCTCCACCAGCTTTGGAGGTGGTGGTGATAGTCCTAGGTCCTGAAATAAACCCAAATGAGAGGGAAGTTTGCAAGTGTTAATCCTGTTTGGTTTTTTATATGAAGGAAATGAGGAAAGAGACAAGTTTTTCTTTCTGGTTTAATGGCATTGTAATTTCTTACAGAGGATGTACTGTAAACATTTCAGTCATCTTTAATTAATTGCATCATTTGTAAACACTAAATTGTTTCATACTTTTAATATATGTCTGTTTTCAGTCTCCCAGTTCAGGCTATCGTTGTACCAGATTTGGGAATTGCCATTTTACATGGCTGTTGGAGACAAAAGGAAAAACATTTAAAATTCAGACAGTGGAGTGCTGTGGCCAGATACAAGCAAGCTGCAAGCACCAAAAAAAGAGAAAAGCTTCTTGCAGTTGGGAAAAGTTGTGGGGTCATGCTGGCTTCGAAGGACAGCACACTGCAGCTGCAGGCATGGTGTTTGGTACTCACTAAAATGCTGAGGTGCTTTTTCCTTCTTGAGGAAGGACTGGAAACAAGCAGCTTTGCTGGAATCCAGCACAGCAGTGGGCTAGGATTTGCCCAGAGGTCTTGTGGGATGTTTAATCCAGGCTGCGAGGGCTGAGCTGTGGGAGAGTTGTGAGGCTGCTCCTTTCCAGCTGATGTGTGTTGCAGGCAGGCTTCTGGCCTCAGCTCTGTCCCCAGCCAGCATGGGCTCCCTGGATGCTCCATGAGCATTGCCTCTCTTTGCCAGCTTCCATCAATGAAGATGAGCAGGGCATCATCCCACGAGCCATGGCCGAGACCTTCAGGCTCATCGATGAGAATGACCTGATCGACTACACGGTCCGAGTGTCCTACCTGGAGGTGTACAAGGAGGAGTTTCGGGACTTGCTGCAGGTGGATACAGCCAGCAAAGACATCCAGATCCGGGAGGATGACAAGGGGAACATTGGTATGTGCGGCTCTGCATGCAAAGCCATGTTGTAGGCCACAGCTGGGCTATCTATCCATGAAAGCAGAGACAGATCTTCCCCCTCCATCCCTTTTCTCCTGCAGCAGTTTGCTGTGCTTAATCTTGAAAGCTGGTCTGGGCAAGGCCGAGTACGGGCAGGGTGACAGCACCAGGCTGTGCAGAGGAGCTGCATCCTCGGGCAGCCCATCCCTCCCAGCCACAGCTGCCTTTGCTTTGCAGTGCTCTGTGGCGTGAAGGAGTCAGAAGTGGAAGGGCTGGACGAGGTGCTGAGCCTGCTGGAGATGGGGAACACAGCCAAGCACACGGGAGCCACCCACATCAACAGGCAGTCGAGCCGCTCGCACACCATCTTCACGGTGACCATGGAGCAGCGGCGCGGGGCTGGCCGGCTGCCCCTGCACCACCGTGCCCCCGCTGTGCCCGCCCCCGGACAGGTCCTGGTGTCCAAGTTTCATTTTGTGGACCTGGCGGGCTCAGAGAGAATTGTGAAGACGGGAAACACAGGGGAGAGGCTGAAGGAGAGTATCCAGATCAACTGTGGCCTCCTGGCCTTGGGCAACGTCATCAGTGCCTTGGGAGATCCTCGGAGAAAGACTACCCACATCCCGTACAGGGACTCCAAAATCACCAGGTACCACTGGGAGCAGGACCCCCCATGTCTCACGGGCTTAGTTTACTCTCTGCCCTCTCTGTGGGTTTTCCTGTAGGGAATCTTGAGGAGCAATGAGACCAGGATAGGAATGCAGGCCTAGCTCATTGCAGTGCTGGAGACGATGAGGTTTATGTGAGTTATGCTGTTAAAGCTGAGATGAGGTGTTGCTGTGGGTTATCCTGCCTTGCTGCCTGTCAGGGAATAAAAAATAACCCCAGTAGACTTGTTTAATGGTCCACAGTTAGTTCTTAGCTTGAGCAGGTGGCCTTTGCAATCTCCAGCAGGACCCCTGACAGCACATACCTAGCAGTGATCACAGAGTCCAACCTCAGGAGTTATTTGGATGGAGACTTGCCATGGTGCAAACTGTTAATCCTCTGCTTAATGATTCCATTCACCTCACTGGTGCCAAACCAACTACAGAGCAAGGACATCATTTTCCTTGGGCTTAACCTCTGAAAAGGGCTGAAAACGTTCTGTTCCCTGCATTATTTTGTATTTCTGCTATTTTAATCCTATGCTCTTCCTTAGGATCCTGAAAGACTCCTTGGGGGGGAATGCCCAGACCGTGATGATAGCCTGTGTCAGCCCCTCATCCTCTGACTTCGACGAAAGCCTCAACACGCTCAATTACGCCAACCGGGCTCAGAACATCCAGAACAAGGCGGTGGTGAACTGCCGCAAGGAGACGGAGCACATCGAGGAGCTCCACCTGCAGATAAAGAACCTGCAGAAGGCGCTGGAGCAGCGGCAGCGCTCCGAGACCCGCATCATCCACCGCTCGGGCAGCGCCAAGCGCGGCGCGCCGGACGCCACGGCCCGGCTGCTGGCCGAGTGCGCCCATTACCGCACCTGCACCGACGCCGCGCACCGGCTGCTGACGGAGCTCCAGGAGGACAGCAACCTGACCGTGGAGCAGATCCTGCGTGTCAAGGAGTGGCTGTGCGCCGTGGAGAGCGAGAGGAGCGAGCTGACCTCGGCCGGGCTGGATAGTGGCATTGAGAGCACCTCCACGGAAGAGCAGGGACCGGAGGCTCAAGGTTCAAAACTGGCAAAAGCCCAGGTAATAGTGGGGTGTTACAGCTCTGAGGTTGGGTTCATCTCATGGCCACAACAGCCCCAGCACAGCACGATGGAAGGGTCAGGAGAGACAGGGGAGGAGAACTAACCTGTCCAGGAGGCCTTAGGGAGGCTGAAGGACATGGTCTCCCCAGCAGGCAGGGAGAAAATAGATTCAGCTGCAGCTCAGATTTATTGCATAGGAGGAATCTGAGTCTGCAGAGCTGTTGTGTCCTTGCAGAGATAGGAAGAGAAGGACAAATGCTGACGCTGCCTCTCTTTTATTTTGAGGAGCAGGTGAGCACTGAGAAGAAGTGTGAGTCCATCAAAGATGAGCAGGTGGCCAAGCTACAGAGGCAAGTGGAACGCCTGGAGGAGGAGAACCGTGATTTCCTGGCTGCCCTGGAAGATGCTATGGAACAGTATAAGCTGCAGGTATCTCTGGGCTCTGCTCTCTTTGTAGGGACCTGCCCCATTCTTCTCCTTCCTGCCCAGGGGTGCTCAGCCCAGCTTTTAGGTTCCTCTGCAGTGGATCTCAGATCAACATATATGTCACCACATTTTGCTCATTTTTCCCTAGAGTGACAAACTGCAGGAGCAGCAGGATAAGATCTCAGAGCTGCACGTGCGCTTGGAGATGGCAATGCCAAATCTGTGTGTGCCAGGACTGCTGGAAAATCTTCACCTGGTCACTGCCAGCCAGAGACCTCACACAGCCCCACTGGATGCTGCCCCATCCCATGGCTTTGGTGGGGTTCCCTCTGGGCTGCTTCCTGAGCAGAATGGAAGAGCTCTTTGCAAGAAGGTGAGGGCATAAGGCTGTGCCACTGAAGAACTGCTGCCTCTTCACTAGGCTGCTCTCCACTGTAGGAGAGCTTTTGCCCTGCTGTTCAATGTGGTCCTTGTCAGAAGCGTAGTTCAGAGGACTGTGCTCAGTGTTCGAATCCAAAGTTTTACAACTCTGGCAAAAATAGTCCAGCCTCAAACCTGAGGCTTTTGCTTTCATGTTGTGGGTGAGTCCCAGAATTGTTCAGTGTTTGAGCAGCAAAAGCACAGGCAGCTGGGTCTGGCAACACATTGGTTCTCCTGAAAATACACTCAATCCATTTTGTTGCTTTTATGTCTAGCAGTGATGCTCAGCTGGGAGCCACTTTTTTTAACACTGGCTCTCATACAGTACACTTGTTTCCTCTCCTCGCAATTCTGTGCCCAGAAGCTCAGCAGCAGCTCCTCCTTGCAGAAGGAGGAACTGGCAGGCTGGCACCTGTGGATGCCAGCCTGGTCAAGGAGAAAGAAACAGCAATCATTTCTTACAGTGGCTTGTGAGAATTTTTAGGGAGTTGTAGGAATGTGTTAACTCGTTAGTGTAAACAATCTGCAGGTGGTGTTTTCCACCTTGCTTTTCTGTTCCTCTCAAGGGCGGTGTGTGAGAAAGATGTTTTTATTAATTAACCAATCAAATAGAATGTATCATATTGGTCCGTTTAAGCCGAAGTTTCCTTTCCATTAAAGCCTTCTTTTCTTCCTTTTTATGCTGCATCCTCATCTGTTCTTGGGTCATTCTGGGCACAAGGGTGACAGGCACCCGAACCACACACAGCGCCCGACTGGCGATCCTGAGGTGCTGCTGAGGAGGGAGCTCAGCCAGGACTCAGAAAAGCCATCAGAGCTGTCCTCAGGAGAAGAGATGGAGGAATGGGAACGGAAACAGTCCCTGTCCCGGTGCCAGTGAGTTGGGGCTGTCCCAGCCAGCTGTCTCTGTGCTGTGTCCCTGTCCCTGGCCTGGCTGCCCCACCGCTGCAGCTCAGCTCTCATTTCTGATGTAGAGGCAAATGCTGCCTGTGGGGTCAGTGATGCTGCTGATACTCCTTACTGCTCCCTGGGGAGCCCATTACCATCATTCCTGACCACAGCTATTGTTTCCATCTCCTTCTGAAGCCTGTGGATCATGAGGGTCTTTACTGGGAACAGCTTTAGCAGTGCCCAGACCAAACTGATTAATTTGCTTCTCCTTCTAGAAATGGGATCCAAAATTTAAGCAAGAAAGAGATGTTCAAGTGGAGCGAGGAGCCAAGTGGAGGCAATGCCCATTCAATTCAGGAGGAGCAGCTGGAGCTGTCAAAAGGCAAGTAGCACTCGTAGGTTGTTGGACAATCTTCCATGGGCTGGTGGTGCTTCACTGGGAGATCTGGATGTCCTACATGGATGTGCCCAGAGGACAAAGAAGGAGCAAAAATGGAGCCCGCTGCTTTTGTTAGGGAGAAACTTGAACTCTTAGGGTCTGGCAAGGGTGTATGTTATTGTAGAAGCTTCAGGTGACTGGGAAATGCTGTACCAGACTCCAGGTACAGATCCAAGATCAGATTGCCCTTCTGTCACCCATCTGCTAAGATAAGACTTTCCTGACCTGGGAATCTGTGTTCCAGAGGTCTGTGGGAAGCGGGAGTCACTGCTTGGTTCCTGGGAGCGCCTGCCAGGGAAGGACTCAGAGTGGAGGCTGGTGCAAGCGCAGCAGAAGATTCGAGAGCTGGCAATCAACATCCGCATGAAGGAGGAGCTGATCACGGAGCTCATTAAGACAGGTGCAGAGCTACTGGCAGGAATATGCACCCATTCCCACGAAACCTCCTCCTACTTGTGGTAGGAGGAGGTTTCATCCTCATCTTTTCTCTCTGTGTTGCTTGTGCTCAGTCTCTTCCCCTACAAACAGCAGGGCCTTGTTTCTCCATCCCTCCAGCTGACAGAAACCCTTCCCACTGGTTTGTCCCTTCCCTGCAGTGGCTGAGGGAAAGGGAACATTCAGTCTCTGTAGCCAAAAATACCTGGGGAGAGGGAGGAAGGGCCAGGATCCTGGCTGTGAGAGAGGGGCTGTGTTGCAGGCAAGGATGCCCAGGCTCTGAACAAGCAGTACAGCCAGAAGATCAATGAGCTGGAGCAGGAAGCAGAGCAGGTGCGGGCAGAGCTCAGCGACAGCCAGAAGCAGCTCCAGGAGCTGGAGGGCAAAGAGCCGTGGGACCCTGGGGAGAAGCGCAAGCTGCAGGAGTACCGCACACGCTTGGCGGCCGCGCGGAGCAAGGCACAGGTGAGGGGGGAGGGCTCTGCCCACCCTGGCGCTGAGCAGGGGCAGAGCTGGGGGCATCTCTGCAAAGAGAGGAGCTGCTGAGGCCAAGCGTGGTTCTCACCCCCCGGCAGGTTCTGTGCAGGAAGAAGCAGGCGACGGAGAGGCTGGTGTCGCTGGCGGCGCAGAGCGAGAAGCGCGTGCAGGAGCTGGAGAGGAACATCCAGCTGATGCGGCGGCAGCAGGGGCAGCTGCAGCGGCGGCTGCGCGAGGAGAGCGAGCAGAAACGGCGGCTGGAGACGGAGGTGAACAAGGGACAGCACCGAGTCAAGGTAGGAGAGGGCAGGAGCAGCTCCTGTGCTACTGTGGGCTTTGTGAGGATGACAGTGGGTGGACTCTGATGTGGTCTGTGATTGTCTTGGAGAGCATGGACACAGCTCTCTCCAAAAAGCTGTCCCCCAGCCCCTGGGCAAACATATCCCACTCCCTCCATGCTCACTGCTGCTCTTCCGCATGCAGGAACTGGAACTGAAGCACGAGCAGCACCAGAAAATCCTGCGCATCAAAACAGAGGAAATTGCGGCTTTCCAGAGGAAGCGGCGGAGTGGCAGCAATGGTTCTGTGATCAGCCTGGAGCAGCAGCAGGTACAGACAGCAAGCCTGCCTCTGCTTTGCTGGGCAGACTGCAGGCTGATGGGAGAGATCTGAAAACAGAGACCTGAGCCTATCTCACCCTTGAGAAGGACAGTCCGTCACATCATTTGCATCTAGTAGCAGAGGACTTAAGATCTTTTCTTAGCCCAGAAGCAGGATCTCATCTAAATGCTAGCACTGGTAAAAAAGTTTTGAAATTTTGTCCGTTAGCAAAAGGGTGGTGAGAGATGTGCTGTCCAAGAACTCCTTGACAGCAGGGAATTTAGTCTTGCTCTGCCTCTTGGAGGAGCTGGAAGGATAAAACCAGCAAAGTCTGGGCTATGGGGGTTAGCAGAGATGGAGTAAGGACCCTTGTTCGGATCTCAACCCCACTGCTCTTTAGTCCAGCAGCCCTGGGCATTGTGCTGCTGTCTGCACACACACACGCCTTTTGCTTCTCCCTCCATCAGAAAATTGAGGAACAGAAGAAGTGGCTGGACATGGAGATGGATAAAGTTCTCGAGCAGCGCCAGGCCCTGGATGAGCTGGAAGATGAGCTGAGGAAGCGGGAAGCTATTGTGGCCAAGAAGGAAGCCCTGCTGCAGGAGAAGAATGGTCTGGAGAGCAAACGGCTGCGCTCCAGCCAGGTAAGACAGGAGTGTGACACCTCGATCCTTTGCTTGATTTCCAGCAGAGGTGGAGGCTGGAAGACCCAGGTGCCATCCTGGGTCTGGCTGCAGGCCAGGATGAGGTGGTGTTGGAAAGTGGGTAGGAAATCGTGTCTCTATGAAAGAGTATGAGCTTGTTGGTTTGGTAGCCCTTGGCTTACGTCTGCCTGGGGGGTCACTTGACCTAGAGAGGGAGAAGAACGGGGCTGAGGGCCTGACTTGCCTTCGGGGCAGATCCCCTTGAGCGTGCTCTGCTGCAGGCCCTGACAGATGACATAGTGCGCGTGTCCAGCCGCCTGGAGCACCTGGAGAAGGAGCTGAGTGAGAAGAACGGGCAGCTGCGCCACGGCAGTGCCCACGACCAGCAGCAGATCCGCCAGGAGATCAACAGCCTGCGCCAGGAGAAGGACCAGCTGCTCAAACAGAGGCTGGAGCTCGACAATAAGCTGCGTCAGGGCACGCTGCTGTCCCCAGAGGTACCTCTGCTGGGGCTGGGGAGCAGGAGGTTGTAGGAGAGAAGTAAAGACTGAGCGTGAGGTCGTTGGTAGATTCTCCCCCACATCCCTAACTGTGCATGTCCCAGCTTCTCACCAGCACTGTTGACATGACAAGGAAGGCTAGGGCAGGGTGAGACAGAGCAAACCCTTTGCTCTCTGGTAACTAGAGCTCTGCCCTGGCAGGAAGAACGGATCTTGTTCCAGCTGGATGAGGCAATTGAGGCTCTGGATGCAGCCATTGAGTACAAGAATGAGTCCATCACGTGCAGGCAGCGAGTCCTGCGGGCCTCGGCCAGCCTGCTGTCGCAGTGTGAGATGAACCTCATGGCCAAGCTCAGCTACCTCTCCTCCTCTGAGACACGAGCTCTGCTCTGCAAGTACTTTGACAAGGTGGGAAACAACTGCCCTCTGTGCTGGTGGGAGCTGTATTTCACTAAGTGGCTGTTAGTGATTGCATTAATAGCCAGACAGAACACATAATAAACTTAACAGAGCTTGAACACTTTTATTAACAGAAATTATTACCTAACCACACTCCTCTTTTCCTCAGTTTCAAGCTTTCTCCTTGCATGATATTGTAAAGTTTACTCCTGTAAAGTAAACCCACAAAGCCACAGTACCATGACCCCTAGCTGGGAGAAGGGCTTAACTAGTTATAGGATGGATGCATGGATCCCTGAAATGGCTCTGCCACCTGAAGTGGCAGCCACACCTTGCTCTTCCCTCCACAAGGCAGCTCTGACATCCCAGCACTACTAACCTTTGTAAGCTGTACCAAAAAACTAACGTGACTGGGGCTTGGTGGGACAGGAAATCTTCCCAAGCATGAAGGAGCTGAAGTGTCCCTTGCTCTTGGGCCCTGGCCAGGTGGTAACACTGCGAGAGGATCAGCACAGGCAGCACATTGCCTTCTCAGAGCTGGAGATGCAGCTGGAGGAGCAGCAGCAGCTGGTGTACTGGCTGGAGGCGGCCGTGGAGCGCCAGCGCCTGGAGATGGACCGCCAGCTGACCCTGCAGCAGAAGGAGCACGAGCAGAACATGCAGTTACTGCTGCAGCAGAGCCGTGGTAACCCCCAGCTCTCCAAACGGGCAGCAGAGCTAACTGTTTTTGTCTTTCACAGGGCTCCCAGGCTGAAATAGTCTTGTTTTTGCTTGTAGAGCATTTGGATGAGGGGCTGGCCAGCAGCAAGCTGCAGTATGAGGCGAGGATTCAAGTGCTGGAAAAGGAGCTGAGCCGTTACATGTGGGCAAACCAGGAGCTGAACCAGAGACTGAATAACATGAACCTCCATCCTGGACAGACCAAAGGTGAGAGGAAACCCAGGCTAGAGCTTTGCTGTTCCTGCCAAGTTAAAAGGGATGTTCAGTTCCCTAGAGCTTGGAGCAGCTCAGAGCAGTGCATGTGTAAGTCCTTCAGCAGCTGCTATACAGACACCAGTTTTGATGAGAAAAGTAGAGACCCTGATACTCTCCTCACTGTACCCTCAATTTTTCCCAGCAGGGATGGAGAGGAGCATTCATGGGGCTGGGGACAGGGCTGCCCCTGAGCCTGGTGCCAGTGAGGAATTCAGCCTCAGGGAGCAGCCCGTGCCTCCAGCTGCCGCCGAGGAGAGCCCTCGGGCCAGGGATGAGGGCAGGGACCTGGTGCACGCCCCTTTGCCCTCGACATGGAGGCGTTCCTCGCTGCCCAGCGACAGCCCCGGCGACCCTCGGCAGAGGGACACAGAGCACTCGCTGAGAGCGGGGCAGCCCCACGAGCTGCTCCCACCACGGAGCCTGGCTGCCCCCAAACCCCGCCGGGAGCTGCGCAGAGCCAGCCTGAACGTCAGCCCAGTGCCTCATCACCCAGCCATGATAGACGTGAGGAAAAACCCGCTCTAGAGCCAGGCTCAACGCTCACCTGGCACAGGGCAGGGAGCAGCAGGTACTGCCGACCTGAGCTTGAGAGCCCTCCTGCCCCACAATCAGCTTGGTGACAGCCCTGTTACATTTCAGGGGCCTGAGGAAGAGAAAGATGTGACTTCTTGTCATGAGGGAGTTGGGTGTGTACGGTGTGGGAGCACCAGCCTACATTCTTCACATTGCTGCCAGTCGAAGCTTTTCCTCTGCTCCCTCAGCAGCTTAAACACTGTGAAGCAGGAGACACTTTGCTTCCAGGCCTCTTAACACTAAAAACTTGTTTACAATGTGGAATTCTGAGCTGAAGAGCTTGCTCAGCCCTGGCAGCCTCAGAGGATGCAGATGCTCTGCAGTCCTGCAGAATTTGTACAAAGATTTTTGTAGTAACTTTGGGTTTTTTACATTTCTACTATAACTTTTCTAATAAAGCAGAGTGAGTTTTATGAAATTGTGACTTGTCAGAAGGGCCATTTAGTCCAGGTATGAAGGAAAGTTGTATTTAAAGTCTCACTGCATGGGAAGTCAGCTGCTGTCACACTGTTGGCCTGATGTTTAAATATCTGTTTTATTGAAGTAGTCCCCAGCCACATCTAGTAGGCCTCTTACATTAAATTGCCACAAGAAGAACATTTCCAGCCAGCAGCAGAATTGTCTGAAATGTCCATAATAAAAGGAACACTAGTTCTGTTTTTCTCTTGCAGCCTCTAAGCTGCTTTAAGCAGGGTTTTCATATTCTTGAGAGAACTTCCAGTCTGGATTTAAGAGAGACTAAATACAATTCTGCAGCTTAACACTGACAGCTCAGGAAGGGGGACTAAAAGTTTAACTCTGGCAGAGCAAGAAATGAAAGCCCAGATATCTGCCTTAAGAAAGGCAAGGGGCAGGGGCAAAAGGCTGCTTGACCACTTGATCCTAAAAAAAACAAGCCACTGCTTCAGCCTGAAAGGAGAACAGCTATCACAACCACTACTTAAGGAGTAACACACCAAGTTAAAAGCCAGCATTTGATATAACAGCCACCTTCTGATCTCCTACATCCTTCACCACCTGTAGTGGTGTCAGTGAGGAGGGGATATTATTGAGGGCTCTGTGGCTGAGCTACTCAAGATTAAATTTAGACACTTCATTCCCTTTGTTGCAAACAAAGACCTTCAATAGGAAAAGTAACAATCCATCTTCCTTGGAAGTAAGTAGCAAATTTGGAGCTCCAAGCTTGTGTAACTCCACATCCCTCAAGCAGGTGCAGCTCTCCCAGAAGCAAAGCAATCATTGTTAAGCACAGGATTCCATTCCTTTTCCCAGTGGGAAATTTAACAGCTTTCCTGCAACAAATAGTGTGTCCAGGAAACAAGCTCCACTCAATCCCATCTAGCCCCTCAAAGCCTTAAAGCCACCTAACAAACCTCTGCTTTCCCAGAGGTTTTGGGATGACCTTACGCCATCTTCATAGCTCTCCACCTCCTGTGCAGTCAGTAGACACAGTGGTGTGAGTTCCCCGAGATCCTGCTATGCACAAACAGCTCACTAGCACAAGGGAAAAAATCCAGCCCTTCCAATATTATGCACAATTTTAGCCCCTTGTAGGCTGCATCTCAGGCACTGAACCATAGCTCCTGCTGTCTTCATGGGGTTGGAACACAAATGTGTCACAGGCATAAATCACTATTTAATCCATGACTCAGTTTGGTAAAGAGTAGTCTTGAAACTGCCATTTTCAGTTATTCCATCCAAGTTTTACTTCTCAAGGACACTTCCCCAGCCAATTCTCTCTGGCTTACTGCAATTTTGCAGAAAAGGACAATGAAGTCACTCCATCAGCATCTGCTTATCCAGCAGTAGCCAGGAGCAGATACACCAAACCATTCATGATCTACAAGGATGTTTCCAGTTAAATTATCTTTCTCCTTTTCTGTACTCTTGGCACTTGGCTAATTAATTAATCTGCTTGTTATTTTCCCACTAAGCTGTGGCAAACTGGAAGCAATTAACAGAGGGATCCATTTAGTATCAGGACAAGACACAGCAGGAGCACGCAGCTTGTTCTGTACCCATTCGCCTCCAGCATCCTCCTTCCTGCAGCCCACATCCCTCAAGCCAAATACCAATTCTGGATTAAAGGACACAATGAAAATTCCTATCAGTTTATTTTACAAGAAAGCTGTAGAAAAGTGACAATTCTCCCTCTTGACCTGGGAGAATTGGACCTTCAATGCAGAACTCACTCTAAGGTTCCACTAGCAAAAAGACCAAGCTAGGCTTTGAATGGATGGAAGAAACCATATTTTAGAGTGGTCCTTATTTCTACTGCCACATGCTTACATCCAGTGTTGTACCAACACAAGGCAGCTCCAGTCTAGCACCAAATACCAGTCTTTGTTAGAAGGTATCTTGTACAGCTGGGATAATACAAAGTTTCCCATGCTGGCCTGGCTCCAAACTTCAGCTGAGCAACTTTTTCCGTGAGTAAGTCCTGCTAAGGCGATGCCTTCTGGAAATCATGACGTGGAATGGAGACAGCTCCTGGTTGGCAGTAATTTGGACAGCATCAGATTCCTCTTCTACAAAAACAGAAAGAAAACATATAAGCCACAGTTTAGCAGAATTCACTGGTGATTCCAAGAAGCCAAATACCGAGTAGAGACAACACCAACTGGAAGTTGCACTTCCCATGTAGCTGCTCTTCATTCTGTAGCTATTCTCTCCTTCCAAACTTCCTGGTTTGTGCCAAGTTTCTTTTAAGCATTGTGAGATGGAGAAGCTGAACACAGCAGTGGCAGACACAGGTTTTCAGCCCATAGCCCAACCCCCAGCACAGCGTGATTTTGTTCTTACTAGGTGGAGGCAAGCAGAGAGCACAGCCAGTGTGCTCGAGCCCAGCCTTTCCTCTCCTGTGCTTACCTTGAACACGCTTCCTCTGAACTGGTGGTGGGGACAGCAGTGGAGACTGGGTCAGGGCTCGAAGGCTGCTAGCAGAAAGTCCACTCTTCAAGGGTGGAGTGGAGCCTGGAGAAGCACAGTGAGATGCTGCAGCAGAACCAGTCAACAGCTCAAATGTTAAGTCTCACACACGGCCTTTATGCTACCTCAAAAGTGCCATCAGTATGTGATACTTAGAGTTTATCTGAAATAAAGTTTATCTGAGTTTATCTAGACTGTCACAGTGGTGTTTCAGCATTTGAGAAAGGTAAATGGCAGTCTGGAATCGTCTGGAATCAGCTCTTAGCACATTTAGTTTTCTTAGCCGGTGTAGCAGAAAATCACTTCACTTGTATTAAACACAGATAATACACATTTCCTGGAAGAAAACTGTTACAACCACAATGATATAGAAATACAAACACAAGGTCTGTAGGTATAGAAAGTCTCTTACAGGACCATCTTAAGGCTAAGCACTGCTTTTATTTCATGTCCTGAATCCGGATTAATGTTGATTCAAGGTTTGGCCTTTTTTTGTGATCATGCTGAGTAAGACACTGCCTCTGTATACAAATCTTTCCTTGCAAGGGAAAACACACACCAAACTTAGTGCAATGACTACAGAACAGCACCCGCCACAGCCCCCTGTAATTTGTACAATACTGGATTAAGTATTTGCAGTTCACAAGGCCTTGTTTACAGTGCTGAACAGCCTGTTTCACCAAGGTTGGCTGAATTGTCTGTACCCACAGCAAAAGCAGAGAGGCAGCTTAAACCTATACACCTCCTGATGCATTATTGTTAGCAAGGGAATAATTTCTGGTAGCACTTTCAAGTGGCCCACCACCACAGGCAGAGATAGCTGGAGCAGCAATGAACACCAACATCCACAGGACTAACCTCACCAAGACTCCAGTCTGAAGCAGTGAAACAGCCAAGCTTACACTTAAGATTGTTGGCTTCAGAGCTGAATGCTGGGCAGAAACAGGCAGTGGCATCACCAGAAACCTGAACAAATCACCAGCTGGTTACAACTGGGATCCTCTCTCCTTAAGTTCTCAAACTTTCCTTTTAGTTCTCCAGCTTTCTGCTCTTTCATATTTCTCTGATCTCTCTCCCATCATTAATACTACTCATATCCAGTCTGCCTCTCCACATAATTATCTTCCATGTCATCTACAAGTCACTCCCCTTTCACCTCACTCTTCCTCAGATAATTACACAGGAAACAACTGTATTCTTGTTTTAGTCTAATCCCCATTTTGAACCACATCTGAATTTCAATGCAATGTCTTTCATGCCATTTAATTACCTGATGAAAGGAAGACATCATCATCCCCTAGACAACTGTGCTGCTCCAGTGTTTTGAGGGCACATGCTCCTGGTTTCTCAGGAAGTACAGAGTCTGTCCTTGATTTACTTCTGTTGCCCTCATCTGTGGAAAAGCCAGTGAGCTCCAAGCTGCCCCTATCAGGACACGACCTCTTGGCACTGTCATTCTTCTCCTTTTCTGGTGACAGGTAAGTAAAGACCCGCTTCCGAGACTTCAAACCAAAAGTTCCCGTGGCAGAGTCCTCATCAACCCTCGGTTCAGAGTCACTAGGAGATGCCGGATCCTGGAGCCTGCAAATCCCTTCCAGTTCAAATTCCCCAAGAGTATTTGTCACTTTGCTGCTGCAGTGTTCTGAGATCCTCATCATTCTTTCTATGCCTGCTGATGCCCGTGTCTGATCATTGGCATTCCTCTCGCCCTGACCACAGCTCACACTAGCAGTGCTGCCTGCTGCTCTCTTCCTCCGAGGCCAGTCATTGATGGCTTCAGGGGTAGTCTTTCCCTTCTGCTTTGGAGAAGGTGTCTGGAGAACTGCTTCCAACGGGAATGGGGAGGTGACAGTAGAGGCACAGCTTGTTGGGGTGTACGACTGGCATATGTAAGTTTGTCCTGCACCTTTCCCAGGTGTACTATGGAAAGAACGGCAGCAGGATGGGGAAACACAGGCGGCTGCTAGTTTTCCTGGGTGCTTGCTGCACCAGGTCACAGCAAAATCACTGAAGGGGCTTTCTCCTCCCTTGGGTTTGCTGGCACTTGCTTCAGGTTGAACTTCCAAGGATGAGCAAGAGCCAATTTTCTTAATGCGAAGCTTGGGCAGGCCTGAAGCTTGCATTTCAATTTCCACTTCGTAGGTCGGTGGGCTGGCAGAGGGAAGTTTGCCACGACTTTCAGGAGTCGAGAACTTGGCTGCAAACTGAGGCTCTCCCATGCGAGCCGCAGCTTCCCGCTGCCTCCTGTCTGGAGTGCAGCGTAAGGAATAGGCAGGAGGAGACTTCTGCATAGGAGGGGAAGTATTCAGGGCAAATCTGGAGCGCCTCTTGAGACTTGGAGCCTTCAGTCCCATATATTCTTCCCTCTGCACAGTTCTTCCTTCCAAGTCATCACTACCTGTTTGCAAATCACTTAGGAAGGACTCACAGGTGTTTGCACTGCAGTTCTCCCCCTTAACTGATGGCTCACAGTCTCTCTCAGCATTCTGTGCATGTTCCTGCCCTCCAGCAAAAGGCTTTGGAGACAAATGGTTTTCCAAGTTTTCCAAGTCCTCTCTTAAAGGAGACTTTTGAGACACTCTATCCATCTGTTTACTTTTCTCCAAAACAGAAGTATTTTCAGTAACTTGGGACTGATGAAGCTGAAGGCTTTCTACAGAACAGTTACCACCACTACCATGCTGATTATCCTCATTCTCTGTAAGTGCTGCACATGTGAGGCTCTCTCCTCTAGAACCTGGTTCACATTTGGCCTGCTCGGGTGTGTGAAGCAGGGACCTCAGTGAAGTGCCAGTAATACCTGGAGTCTTTTGAGGAGATGGTTTAGATGCACCAGGTTCCCAGTCAGACTCCCCAGCCTGCGTGCAGGACGCAGAGCAGCTTGTCACAGTGTTTGTGGAACTTTCACAGAGTGGAGAATTGCAGAGAGGCTCTGGCCTCACAGCAAGTTGAGATATTTCTGTACTCAGTGGGCTGGTACGTAACTTTGAACCTGGATCTTCAAGTTTCCTAGGTGTCCTTTTAGGTGCTTGAGATAACTGATCTAACTGCACCTGAATTTCCTCTGTAAGGATTTGTCTCCGAGCACTAACTTGAGATGCTAATTTTGAGAGGTTTCTCAAGGAACGTCTTGGAGTCTGAAGTTCTGTAGAACACCCTCCTTGGGTGGCAGAGGGGGGAGACACAGTTGGATTTGAATCTGTTGGAGGTAATACAGAGGCATTAAGCTCTGTGAACCCCTCGTGTTTTGGTGTTCGCCAGCCACGCTCTTTGCAAGGAGGGGAAATTGTCAGAGCTGCACAAGAGTCCTCAGCAGTTACTTGCAGTAAGTGAACACTCCTGCTGTCAGTTAGCGCAGATGGAGACTTGAGCCTTTGTGCAAGATCAGAAAAGCACTTTCCCAAACATTTAGCTACATTCTGCTTAGCTGCTGGACTTTTGCCAGGTGTCTTCTCCAGCTTTTGTGGTGTCCTGTGGACAATGCGAGGCGATCTCCTTGGGAGATTACTGGCAGAATTTAGTGGCTTCTGGGCAAGTTTATGAGGTGTTTTTCTAGGAGTCTGCAGGGGAAAAATAATAAGTTAAAGAATCATGCTTTTTCTACTCCAGGAGTATTATCTATCCATCTTTATATTTACTTCCCAAGATCTGAAACATAAAAAACCCATTGAATGAGACTTAACAAACACTAAATTTAAGATGCTGATGAATGGAGGAGAAAACAAGGATGGGAAGAAAGAGAAAGGGAGATAAGTAACTGTTTCTACCTGACATGAGGTAAGCTCCTCTAAGTGTAAGGAATCTTTTCTTGTTCTCCTCCTTCCAGGTGAATGCTTCCCTGCAGGACTACACATGTCAGTGACTGCACCAAAGAAAAACCTCTTGGGAGTGTGGACTGGGGCGCTCTCTGAATGCTGGTTAAGGCCTATGGAATGGAACAGTACAATTTAACTAACACAAAGTAATGTGCCACAATTGTCTGAATCACGTCAGATGTGTGGAAAAGTAGTGTAAAAAGCTCATATCCCTGGCACATTCTTTTCTAACCAAGAGTTAAAGCTTCACCAGAATTATTGTTATTTTCCATTATGAAATTAATACCCATCTTTAGAAAGAGTGCTCCAATGGTAAAAAAAGCTATAAAATACCTCGGCCTCTAATTCTATTTATAGCTTGTAGCTTTAGATAGTTCTGGTTCATGACTAAGGATAATAAGTAGAATATAAAGAACTAAGTGTCACCATTTTTAGCTGATAATCCTACTGAGAAAGCCTGCAAAGAAGATCCCATCAGTCATTGCTTTATGCTGCCACAGAGTAAGCTATAGGATTTCTGTCCCATATTTTATAAGGATTTCACTGCTTTTAAGGAATGCAGACTGACAATCAGTGGTATTCTGTTACATGGGCCTGACTGGTTTGTTAAGTTGGCAGTGAATTCATCATAGAAATAGCTGCCTTACCATCCTCAAAATTCAGATTACCAATTAAAAAATAATTACTGAGGATGAATTTCTGTCTACTGAAGATATTACATGACAGCTCTTAGCTTCTTACAGCCTCTTGTAGAGCCAAATCAAATCAAACTCGGAGCTATCCATGCCAGCTTTTCAGATCAGCAGTATCAGTCTGCTCAAATGCCACTCAGTACCTTCTACATCCTGCCGTTTACAGTTCTCCTTTTCTTGTCCCTGGTGGAGATGCTGTGATTTTTTTGAGCTGGGCTGTGTAGTGGAATAGAAAGCACCAGAGCAAGTCCTATTCAAAGACAGCTGTTTGATGCGTGGGCTTCTTCTCAAACCTGCTTCTGAAAAGGCAAGGACATTGGAGACTGAGCCTTCTTTCCCCCCTCAGCAATGGACACATCATCAGGAATAGTTCACAACTGCAAAAACATACTCTCAGAAGAAACTTCTCTACAGGTACCCATCTCACCCAGGAAGGCAAGCAGGTGAAGCAAAGGTTAGTTTTCTTGAGGATTTGGAATATTTATGCATACAAATCTCCTAAAGTATGATGCCCCTCATCTAACTCATGATTACTCTCATTCCTCTTTAGCAATTATGTGGAAAGGAATGCTAGAAAAGCCATGTTCAATACAAGTTACATCCAAGTTAAAAGATGGGTTAATGGTCTTGTCCCTTTTTGCTAGCAATTTCATTTTCCTTCTTGTCCAGACATGCTGGATTTTTCTTCCCTTCTGGGGAAAAGGAACAGCAGTACCCAACACAGGAGACACTCCCCAGAGCCAGGTGGCTGTCTGTTACAGCAGAAATCAGAGCAGGGTCACAGCACAACATGGTGAAGTTACATTAAAAATAATCACGTGCTGGTTTGACAGTAATTATAGCAGCTCAGAATCTTGTTCACCCTTCAAGTCCTTCACTTTTTTTCATTTAAAATACTTGCTATCTACTTCCCTTTCTTAACTTAAATTGTACAGAGCTGTTAAAGCAGTGAGCAGCAAGTGGTTCTGTCAGAACAGAACTGTACAACACTTTTGGACTGACTTATAATGAATTAGCCAAATCAAAGCACATTCATCTTACAAGCTATGACACAGCCAAACCACCTTTAATGAAAAATCAGTGCTTACCATATATAGCCTTCTCTGGAGATTCTTCTACAACACCAGTGTCACAACCTGGATCAGAAGACCTTGAGAAACACCAAGACATTTTGGGCTGAGCATACTGAGCACATTTACAGGAACAGAACTTGCCACAGAGACTGAGAAGCAGTGCTCCATTCTTTGTGGGCTACTCTAAGTGAGCAACCAGTAAGCACTTTGCCTCCTACTGACATGTAATTGAGTATGGGTAGCTCCCTAGATGTACAGTTCTACATGGAAGAAAATGCTGCAATTCAGCCTGGAGCCCACAAAATACAGCAGGAGCCTTTTCTTCATAAGCCCTTGAACCAGCAACTGAACCTAAACAGACAATAGCTGCAGGAGTTAAAGCAGCCTGACTTACATGATGAAGCAAGCAGTATTTCCCCCCAACTTGAGCAATGACATTTAGCCTCCACTGATTCTCTTACTACCTTAAGATCTTCTCTGACTTCATCAATACCTGGTAATTCTGCTCATAGCCATTAATTAGGCATCCATTAATTAGACAGCCAATAGTTACTGAAAAAATTCAGAAAGAACTCACCGGCCTTTGATCTGCTTGTGTAGGAGTCTCCTGGACACCTGCTTGTGTAGTGGTGTTTCTGCAACTCTCTTGGTCAATAACTTGCGATGATCTAAAAATCATACAAAAGCTGTAACATCACACAACTATAAAGCACTTGGAACAAATAAATAAATACAGTTTTGTACAGGCTTCAGCTTAAGAATGACAATAGTCATTCTTAAGTCAATATAAAACCACTGTGCTGTCTCCCAGCACTCACAAGCTATCATTATTTCAGTCCAGTGTCTACACCTCCCTCCCACTCCCTCAATATTGTACCACATCAGACATTGTTAACCTACTGAGATAACTTCCATTATTCATCTTTATTTCACAGATCCTTTTTAACCAAGCATTTTTAATTTTCTTTAGGAGATGTAAAGAGTTCAGTAAAAACAGGTTTCAGTTTCAATACCCTCATTATTCACCCTCCAAACACCACAACAATGACCTCTTTTTATTTTTCAATAAAAACTGATCACAATTGTTTCATAGAACTGAGAATGCAAAAATAGGAATCTTAGCAAAAGATCTTCCACAGCAATCCTACATGTGCTAGTCATATCCTACCTTTGCTGCCCTCACTGGTGCATTTGTATTTTAGGCCTTCCACAGCAGATACTGACTGGCTTCTCAGCATCTTTTTCAGTGATCTTTTTGATGGTGAAAGTAGCTCTTCATTGAAGAGATTCCTCCTTACCTTTGTAACCTCTGTGAGACAAGAAAAGCAAGAAAAGATCAATTTACAAGGAAAAACAGAAGAAAAAAAAGAAAGGAAAAAAATATTAAAAAAAAACCTCAAAGATAATTTTGTGAGGCCACTAGGGATAGAACAATATACCAGCAGGGAAGGACAACTTTTTAGAGGCTAAAAAGCTTTGAAAAGTTGTTTTATCTACTACTGGAACATGTCCTCCTCTAAATCCATTCCAGCCTTCTCTTCTGAATTTGTATTATTTGCATTATTCCAGCAATAAGCTACAAGCAGATGCCATAGCAGAAAAAGCAGACAGTCAGTGTCCCATATGGAACATGAGATGCACTACCAAAGCACATATTGGTTCAGAGAACACATGTGATAGTTATTTATTTTATTTTTATGAAGTATTTGTGGGGATATATCCTATTTTCTGATATAGTTCATCCTTGTCCCCATTTTCTTTTCAGGAGAGAGAAGTAGGAAATAATTTCAAGAGTCAAGGTTTTCTTTTGAGGACACGAAATTTAAGTTTTCTCTGTATGAGTACATAGAATACCACATTTTTTTTCCCCTCAAAGTTTTTGCACAATTCAGCAAAACTTCCTTCAGATTTCCAGCATGCCTCAGCATAATTTCATCATGGCTCAGTAAAATTTACAGGGACAACATGTGCTGAAGATGCACCTTTCCATGAACAAGCCAGAAGTCAATATACCTTGCACTGCCTCTTTCTGCAGCAAAGGCATCTGCTGGGACTTCTCAGTGGCAGGGTAAGAATGCAAGTTCTCCTGAAACAAATGAGAAATCAGCCTCAGCAGCAGTGCAATGTTATGTTTAAGTATGAATATTAGCTACAAGCTCTAAACCACACATTATTTCAGTTTTTCCTTTGAAACAATGTGACCTCTGTACAGCGGATACAGGGCACACTTCCTAAAGGAATACAGAGCAAGAGTTTTTGCAGTCAAGCATCACAACTCACAGACAATCCTTCTGGAAGAGTTTTACCTTTCTGATGGGGTTCTTGGCTACCTTGGGAATCTCAATTTGACGCAAGTTCTGTGGTGCTTCTGTCATGCTCCTGTGTCTGGCTAACACAATATTCCTTCAGAAAACACACAAAAATTAAGCTAAAATAAGATCAGTAGCACAGCTATCAACCTACTACCAAATAAACTTAGGTGTGATTTGAGAGATAGGAAGTGTTTACCTAAATTCAAATTGCAAACTACATTGATACCTCAACTTACTACAACACTGGGATATAATTTACAATATAAAAAGCTATTCCTAAGGTTGGTATTGGAATTCATTCACAATTTGCTAATATGAACACAGAATCCCCAAAACAGACATCTCCAGAAAATCACTTTTAACTTTAACAATACAGGTCAGCTACTGCACAGCATAGCATGCTTTTCCTCTCATGGAAGATGCTCCTGAAATCTACTTTTGCATAAGATACAAATACAGAATCAAGACTATTTTTTATAGTCAACAAAAAGCTGCCTCCTGTTTGGAATTACTACCTTCTCTTTTTGGCAGATCTGGTGCGCAGCTCCTCCAGCTGATCACTCTCAGTGCAAACGGTACTGGGAGTTAAGACAGATGATAAAGAGGGAGGAAGGCCTGGAGATTTGCTATCCAGAGTCATGGAGTCATCACTGAAGAAGTCTGAAGGCAGAACAGATGCCAGCTTCGGAGGTATTTGTGTACCCAGACCATAATAAATATCTCCAAGGATCTTTGGTATAGAATTCATATACCTGGAACACCAGAGAGAACACACATGAAATATACCTCTCCTCAAAACTTAGGTTATTTCAAACCCAAGGTGTGAACTAGATCCTTGTTCTTACATGTCAATTTAAAAACAACAAACTGCATATCAACTGAGTTTTTAAATTAGTTTACTTATCAGTCACTTTTTCTGTAGCCAAAATATAAGTGTAAAAAAGAGAACACACATCTAAATTTCTGAGAATTACAAAGTAAATCAAAACTGTTGATTGCTCTCTACTCACAGACAACATCCAACCCAAACCACAGTCCCCAGCAATACATAAGTCATGACAAATAACTTACAATTCTAGTATTTCCTCTAGAAACTTTGTAAGATAGGCTGGGTCTTCAGTCAGACATAAAATGCGCAGCATATCTGTCATCTGGAAGAGAAGGTCAGGTGGCAAATTGGATTAAGGTGTGACAGCTGCAACACCAGATATTTTAGTAAGGAATATAAAGTGTTAGTATAAAATCAAAGGAAAAGCAGGTTCCAGGTCTACATTTCTAGTGCCATGCAGAAACACAACCTGGTTTATACTTTACTTGCCTCTTCTAACAGCTGCTCCATTTCCTCAGCGTTGCTTTGCAGCGAAGGGCACTGAAGGCACAACTCAAGGCGCAAAAATACCTGAAGTCGGCACCTAAGAAAACAAGTAATTACCCATCACCTCTTTTTCTACTGGAAACAGCAGATTTACTGCAAAAGGTGTGCTCAAAAAAGCAATGGGAAGGAAAGTGGTTCCTTTTGACAGCAATATTTAGTTAGCATTTCATTTGGGTGGCAAGGGAGATACCTCACTCCAGATATAGGCTGTAGTGCTTATCACACAGCACGGGTATATTTGCATTTAATGAAATGGTTTTACTGCAACCAGAGATTACTCTTGAAATATTTGCCCCATGTAAATACTTTTCCAGTTGTACAAAAAAGCCACCATTAAAAATTGCTAACCAACTCCACAGTATCTCAGAAGCTGAAGTAAATACAGTGTCTCATACTCTCTGACTTTGGTCTCCTTCTGTGAGCCATGCTGTTGTCTGAGCATTTTGCTGGTCTTCAGGAGATGGTTCCTGACTCTTTCCACACAGGCCACCTGCAGACACATAACAACAGCAAGAACTTCAGAACTGTTCCCTATCTGCGGGGCAGGGTCCTCCCTTGTCCCTCAGTTACCACCCCAACCTATTCCTTTGGAAGTACAGTTTTTTTCCTTTCCTTTCAAGGACAGGAATTACTTTTCCCCTCAGTAGCAGAGTTATAACATAAAACAACATAGAGCTTGAAATCAGAGGTCTCTTGCTCACAGCTTCAGGCCTTCTTTACTCTGGATCCACTCTGGATTTGTTTTTCACAGTGTTTTTGTTAAATTAATCAAAGGTTTACCAGTTTTGGTTTAAGATTATTGTAAGCCTATAAGTAGTGCTAAAGATTGTAAGAAATAGCTTGAAACTATTTCTCTTACCTGACAAAGCCAGGCCTAGATTTGCCACATAATGCAAAAACAAAAGATGCACCTTCTTTAAAATACAGTTTGCAAGAATGTATTTTTTTAAATACTGTCTTTAAAATCAGGATTTGTAAGGAGGAGAGTGTAAAGAAAAGACATCTTGCAACATTTAGCAAAGCTGTAAACTGATAACTGAACTGGATTTTCCTACATTTTTTACAAGCATCCAGTTTTTCACTATTGAGTCCTCACAGATAGAAGCAGTCAGTGACCATGGTGCACCTCCACATAAAACTTCAGGGAACATGAAGGAAAGTTTGTCCAAAATAGTAAAAATTCTAACTTCCAGATCAGTAACAATCCTGCCCACATGCTCTCACCTACCTCCTTCTCTTTGGCATCTTGTATTTTCAAGAACCTTTTAATGGCCATGATCATATTCTGGGCACACACAGATGAGGGAATTCCCTCAGCAACAGCCTTCTGGTAGCTTGTAGTCAAGTGGGACTGCAGCTCCTCCTCTGTTTGGAAGTCTGCAAGGAAATGGTCTCCATTAACTAAGTGCATGTTCTCCACACCTCCCTGATAAAATACTCGCCCCAGCTGAAGCAGGGAACAAACAAGAATAAATATTTCCTCCAGCAATGATGCATCCAGACCATAGCACACTAAAAAGGCTGTCCCAGGTCCAGGACCATGACATATTATAAGCTAAATCAGTCCTATAATCAACAAAGTTTGCTTAAGATCAGCAAACTTTTGGACTACTGAAAAAGTCAAGAAATGTTCTTTATTTCTGCCTAATTAATAACTAGGACTACATTTCCAGTTATACCTTGAGGAGTGCTTCCCTCTATTTCTTTTGGTTAAAAAAAAATTTAAAAGTAAATCCTTATTGCTTTTTTTCAGATGGATACAAGGCAAGAAACTAACCCCAGAAACAGCCATAACACCAGTTTGTAAGAATCAGAAACTAAATAACAGAAGGGTGGGAAAAAATGTCTACTCTTTGCCATGCTGAAGATACAGAAACTCAAACACTGATTTGCTCTTTGGTACTGAATACTCCATTATTATCCTTTGCTCTCCCTTCCACAGAAAATCCTCTATGACTCCTGTATCAGGATATCAATAGCTCATATGGGATCTATCAAGACAGAAACATAACAGGACTTAACACACACCAATTGATATTTTAAGTGCTTTTGTCTTTCCTTCCACCTTTTCATCCAATCTTTTTGCTGAAAGCTTCTGTGGAACCTTCTCATTCACTGCTGGTGGCACAGCATCAGGTTGAAACTTCTGAGCTTTTACATTTAGTCTTGCTACATTGAGCATCTGCAGGGATCTGGGCATGGTCTTCATCTTCTGCCTGACTGGAGTTCGGGGAACCCCACCTGCAACGCCACAAGAGAGAGTTCTACCATCAGGCACACTGGGGCAGGAACTCCATCCAAGGTAGAGAGCAACACTAAATTCTGGATTACTGTGACCTTAGTAACCTCCTAGAGGAAAACATGGCCAAAAATGTTAGTATTTCTTTGTGAAATCAACATATAGATAGTGTAGCAGGCATCTACTTCTCCAAATAAAAAAGCCAGGTGCATATTGCTCTGCATAAAACCTTACATAGGTTTAATCAGAAGTTATATATATAGGCAGCAATCTTATGTCACAGAAATAGAAACAGCTGACAGCAGGACTTGCAAATACATGAAGCCAAGGTGAAGTCAACTGTAATTAGTGTAGAGAAATGCAATGATTAAACTCTTCTACAAAAAAAGTGGTTTATTTCTCTAATTACAACAAAATTGAGAGGCAGTAATATTTACTAGTAGTTGAAGCAGTCCCTATTTCAACAGCTAATTAAACTGCAGAACTCTGCATGCAGCTTTTAACAGCTTTGTCACTCTCTGCACAATCCTGAATTACAATAATTTGGGTTCTGCTACAGGACTAATCTAATACAAATAAGCAAATGAGACTGTCCCTAAATAAAAAAAAAAAATAAATTTAAAGCATGGCACTACTTAAGAGTATACATCTCTGGAGCTCATGCATCATCTTTTATTGGCAACACGCATGTGTAACTCCAAACTATACATACGTCTTTTTTTGTTATGTCCTGGTCCAGCTGCAGCAGAGGTTTCACTGAATTTTCTCTGGTACAGCTCAGACAGACTTTCTGAGAGCTCCACATCAGATTGGTCTGCACCATCCTTCCCGTTAGCACTAGGAACCTGCAGGAGCCTGTATGAAAGAACAACACAGTTATCAAAAAAAAGACAGGAGTAGGAGGCATATCCCTTCCTTCCTGTGGGCAGAAAAAAGGTTTTTCTAGATTCCAGTCTGCAGCAATATAGTGCAAGTAGCACACACTAGTAACTCGTCCAGCACCTGCTCCCCAACACACTTAAGAGATGGAGAAAACCCAGACCCTCTTAATATATTGGAAACAAGCATTATATTAATGTGCAATGGATATGGCACTGGCCTGTACCACAAAACTAAATAAGCAGCTTTGTGCTTTTAAACTACCCTGCATTAGGCTCTTTTGATTCACGAGCAAGCTCTTTGAAGAAAGCAAGTTTATTCATTCCAAATAAACACCAACTGTAAGAACACAACCACATCTTCAGTATTTTGCACTGGAATTACTATCCCATAAAAACTGAAATTTGTCATTTCCCAAGTAGCTTAAGGTAATTTTAAGTGACTCCTGAAATTACCAAGATTTTAATCCTGCAAACTGATACCCAAACATCCTGTTCCCAGTTTCTTTTGTCTGTATACCCCACCAAGAGATAAGCCACCAGTAAGCTGAGCACAGAAACAAAAGCAGCAGAATTCTAGAACTCTAAGCAATGCCACAGCCATACTCCCTTAACAGGAAGCAGAAATCCTTGATTATTGCTCAGAGACATTCAGAAAAATACCTGAATGACTCCATCAGATCCGAGCTTGCTCCACAGGCATTGGATGCAGGATACCACGCTTCCAGCACTGAAGGATGCCAGCCCCCTGTATGGGACAGCTCCCGCTGGACCCACTCTGGCACTGGAGTTTCTTGTCCTGTACAGACACAATACACAAAAATGAGAAAAGCTGAACTAAGAAGTTCGAAGACAGAGGTTCACAAACGTTTGATCCCGGAGAGACAATGAGAAGATTCACTCTAACACAAAACACTCATGTAAAAGCAGCCTCCTTGCTGCAGTCCCACCCACAGGCTTTACTGGCCAGGGATGGCCCATGTGACACATTTTAGGAAGCCTCCTTCTAAATTCATGTCCTCAGGCACATGTAGCTGTGCTTTATCTGCAAGCTAATGGAAACTAACACTGTCAATAAAACAAAAAGCTACACCCATACAGATTACTTTCTGCATCACATCACAAGGCCTTAGCTACAGATGGCACAATGAACAAGTCCCAAAAATGAGACTCCTCAAGGAGAAAACCATTAACTTTAGGGTTTTTCTACTGCAGATCTGGAGATGATCAAAAGATGGCAAGTTCTGCATTTCCTGACACCTACCCAGACTGGCCAGAGAATCTTCCGCTGACATGTCAATTTTACTCAACACACTATTCACAATCTCTGGCAGGTGAGTGGCAGAGTCTTGGGAAGAGTCTTCCACTACAGCTCCTTCAAGGCTGCATCCCTGAATTTCAGCAGTCTTCTCAGGGCCAAGCACAGTCAGAACTGCAGTATCCCCAGAAAGAGGTGACAGAACAGCAGTGCAGGGGCACCAAGTTTTAGACAGAGATACTTCAGCAATCTGCATTTTAAAAGAAAAAAAGGGAAAAAGAGAACAGTTTACATTAGCTAGAAATACAGAGACCTAAAGAGCACAGATACTTTACAAGAAGATTATAGAGTTACATGACCCTTGAAAAAAAAAGTTCTGAATGTCTTCACAACATGATACTGGCACCCCTTTTGGCACAATTCATTTCAGAGCAGGAATTAGTTTAAGGCAAAGAGGAAGAGTTACCATGTGCAGTCCTTCAGCCAGCAGACTCCTCAAGAGCTGATGAAACAGAGCCCTGTTACACTCTCCCTGCTCAGCCTGTGAGCTCTGCAGTATCCAGCTCTCTGTGAGGAAGTGGCCAGCCTGTGCCAAGCTCCAACCCATCAAGCTTCCCTTCACGACAATGCTGACTGGACACTGCAGCTGTCTTTGGCTCATGGCAAGAGGTTCCAGGATCACGGCACAGCTTTCCTGCTTCTTCCCTCCTGGGCAAGCATAGATAAAGAAAAAGGCTGAAAGCAACCCTTTTCCATCAAGGTGAAGAGACAACTTCAATGTCAAAAAAGTGAATTCCAAGATTAGAGGGAATATACTATACAGTAAGTGTGTTGCAGAACTGACCTCCTTCCCATGCTCTCAAGGAGCTGAGTGCATGGAAGCACCACTAAAGAAAGACCCCATGCATACTGCAAGCTGCTTTACAGCTGATCTCTTTTCTTTACAAGGGGTTTTTAATGTGTGTTCTTATTTTCGCTAAATCAAGTAACTGTATGAGAAAATGGAGTACACCTCTATAAGGTGGGACCAGCAAAGAGCTCCTCATCCAAACTTCTAGGAGCATGGCAAACTGAAGAGGTTAAATCAGAAACATGGGCTCACAGTCCTCATATCAGAGGTAGTAGAGCACAAGCAGAACTTTAAAAGAAAAACACCTAGGCTTTCAAATATGTGAAGTTATTTCTACACACATTATTCACAAGGGAAGCTCATCAAGGACCCTGCATGAGAGACCAGTTACTACCATGCACATCTATATTTTCCATTTTTTTTATTACCAGGCACACTGAGAAGCAATGTTCCTTCTTGCTGGGGAAACACTGATCGATACAGGGATGGCCTGGAGAACAAGCAGTTCAAAGTCCCATCCAGGGGCAGAAGCCTGGCCCAAGGCACAGCCTGTGGCTCAGGGAACCCGGAGTCTCCAAGGAAGCCAGGAGCAGCATCTGCCCTGGAGTGACTCAAACAGTGCACCAAGGTTTCAGCTGGCAAAATGGTGCCTCCCATCTGACAAATCACTTCCAACATTGTCCAGTAGCCACCATGATCTGGGCATTCGATCAGCTGAAATAAAAGTAACACAGAGGTCTCAAGTTAAGGTTGGCAGTGAGAGAGCTTTCATGAAAGCAAATAAATATTTCACTTTTTCAGAACAACTGGCATATGAAACATACCCTCAAGCATCTAAACACGGTGCCTTCCGAGTGTCTTTATGGACTTTATCAGCCTTCATAGGAACCTAACAAAGTAAATACTATTCCCAGTGAATTAAAAGCTAGCAATATTTTCAAGCCACTTTTTTTTTTTAATCTGGTGTCTACACACCTGAACTATCAGGCTGCTTATCTGCAATTCTGAACAGCTGTAACACCCCTCTAAGTCAATTCACAAGACATCCCATCAATGAACACTGCACAGCTACTCCACTGCAGATAAATCTCAGTCTCCACATGGAAGATCCCACTCCAGATGTCAGTCCCTTGCTGAAGATTATGTGGCAGTGAGTGAACCTTGGCATGGTTCCCTACTACCCAAAGATTACTTCCGCCAGAAAGTAGCGTGGCAGATATCCCACTAGGGCTCACAGCTGAAAGCTCTGCCGTGTAATCCCCTTACCTGAGCGCAGTCGGCAGTGTCCACCCAGAACAGGGTGATTTTCTGTTCCACCAGCAGCTCCTGCACGCTCTTGGGCAGGAGTTTCTCCGCCAGCTCCTGCGCCGAGGGCGGCTCTCCGGGGGAGGCGGGGGCGTCGTTCCCCGAGACGAACTGCCGGAGCTCCCTCCGCGAGTGCGGGCAGGGGGAGAACAGGAACACGGCATTCACGAAGCCCTCGGGCGGCGCCTCCGGGGGCTCTGGGGCGGCCAGCCCCGTCCTGCGGCTCCTGCGGGGCGGCTTGGCGGGGGACGCGATCTCCGGCCGGTCCCACTGGAAGTCGAGCAGCGTCTCCTTGAGCCCGCTGTGCGTGAGGGCAGCGCGGGGCGCGGGGCCGGGCAGGCCGGCGGGGTCCCGCGGCCCGAGCCGCTCCGCCAGCTCCTCCTCGAAGCGCTGCCAGGCGCGGGGCCCCGGCGGGCGGAACCCACCGCCCCGCGAGGCGCCGCCGCGCCCGCCCAGCGAGTCGAAGAAGCGGAAGGCCCAGCGGAGGCGGGAGAGGCCGAAGCGGCAGCCCAGGAGGGTGAGGAGGCGGAGGGCGCCGCGCTGGAGGCGCTGGCGGGGCCCGGCGGTGTCCAGCAGGAACACGGCGCTGTGCGAGCACGACATGGCGCGGGCCCCTCACGCCGCCGCCATCGCCCGCCCGCCGCGGCCGCTCGCGCCCTCGCCTAGCGCGGGCTCCCATTGGCTGCCGCGGAGCGCCCGCCACGCCCACTCCCCGCGCCTCCCGCTCCCATTGGCGGAGAACGGGGAGCGGGAGGGCGGAGCGGTGGGGCGGTGAGAGGGGTGCTCGCTGCTGATTGGCCAGCCGCGCGGCGAGCGCTGCCATCCCATTGGCGAAGAGCGGTGTCGGAGCGGGGGGCGTGGCCAGCGCGCGGAACGAGCCGATTGGGCGCCGCCACCGGTTTAAAATTTAAAGCCGGCGGGGCGCGCGTGGCGGTGTGACGTCACTCGGCGGCGGTGTTACGTCACTCATCGGCGGTGTGACGTCACTCGGCAGCGGTGTGACGTCAGCGGGCGGTGGCGGCAGCGCTCGCCGGGCACCGCCGGGTCCCCAAGCGGGACCAGCCCGGTCCGCCCCGCCCGCAGCCGGCAGCCCCCGACAGCACGGACAGCCCGCACGGCTAAACGTCAGCTTCAGATTACGTATTACCAAAAAACACGTACTGTTCGTGCGCGTTGGGCAGGGAAGTGGCGGAGTCACCATCCCTGGAGCTGTCCCAAAAGCACGTGGATCTGGCGCTGGGTGACACAGTTTGGGGTTACAGTGATAATGCTCTGTAGACTTGGTTGTAAAGGCCTCCTAAAACTTGACGATTCTATGAAAAATGTAGGGTCAGGACACCTGGACTAGATGCTTGTGGAGGGCACAGACCCTGGGCTGCCATCAGCTGCCTTGCCCAGGAGCAGCCCCTCTCTGCAGGGCTTGAAGCAGGTCTGTCCCACAGCGTCAGTAGTCGGGTGTGATCACAGTGGGTAATGGCAGAGGAATCCCCACAGAGCATCCCTAACCCAGGGGTCCGCTCCACCCTCGCCTCCAGAGCTTGAGTGCCCCAGCCCAAACCAGTGTCACCAGCAGCCAGTGGTATTTATAGAGCAACAAAGGGGCACTGAAGGGCCCGTTCGGCTCTGCTGGTGAGCACAAGTGGGTTTAATGAGCTGGAACCAGGAGCTGATCCACTCGGGTGGGCAGGAGTAACCTGCCACCAAGAGCAACAGAAGGACAACAGGTGTCCCTGGAAACGTGCAGCCTGCAGCCGTGGGGATGTGGGCTCCCTTCTCCTGCCTGGGGGCTGACATCTCCTGCTGCTTGACCTCGCTCTGCCCTTTGAGCCCTGAAGAAGAGCCAGCCACACCACATTGCTGCCATTGTCCAGCCACTGGCATCTGTCCCCACAGTCTGCTGAGGACACTTAGCAGAGTGTGACCAAAACCTGCCTTATCACAGTCCACCTGGGACCCGAAACAAACCCGGGGCAAAGGGGAGTTTTCCAGCAAGGTCTGACAGCTTCCCACACGGGAACTGCTGCTGGCTATCAAACCCCTTCTCCTTTCCTGCCCACCTCAGTGCATTTGCTCTGGAAGCTTATCCAGCTCTTGGGAAGGCCAGCAGAGGTGTTGGCTGAGCCCAGGTGACAGTGCTTCCCAGTGTGACAGCCAGAGCTCCTCACACCCCTGCTTCTTGTGCTGTCCTGTGTTTGTGCTGCTTTCACATTTGCCCTCTCTGCCTGCTCCACAAGGACACCGACTTCCCTCTCAAACAGTCCTTGGGTTCTTTCTGGACAATCATTTACTTGCTGATAAATGCTGATTCTTGGGAGGAAGGAGAGAGCACAAGAAAAATAGAAAAATAATTTTGAATTTGGCTCATGTGTGGTTGTCATTTTGATCCAGATAAGATTTTTTTTTTAGCTTAAAAAAGTCTCTCTTTATTTTGTCCTGTTTCCAATGTTCATCTCCAAGGGATACATAATGGTGAGGGCTGAGAAAAAGGGATGAGAAAACCCAGAGCTAAGTGAACTGTTTGATCTCCACTCATACCACCACTCTGTCCTGCCCCACTGGAAAGTTTGTTTGCCTTTCTGCTGAGGCAACCTGAAAAAAACTTTTGTTTTGTATTGACTCAGATGCTTAGCTTTCAGGTCACTCCTCAAGGACCTGCACAAGCAACAAGTCACCTTTTAAACTGGGCAATGCCCATAATCTCACTTGTGCTGCATCAAGGCTTCCAAGACTCCCCAAATCCTCATTCTCCAGTGCCCTCTCCACTCCATGTGCCCAAAGGCTACTGGTAGTGGCTGCTTTGAGCACAGATTCTGGGGACCCTCCTATCCAGGGTGAAGCTGCCCCAAGGCCTCCAGGCAAGAGGGAAGGATTTCTGTGCTTTAGATTTTGTCTCTACATCTTTCAAATATATTTAGTGCTCATAAAAGTGATAAACAGAAAGAAACCCAGCTGGGACCAGTCCTGTACAGCCCTCACCCAAGGTAACTAAGATCTGGACACTGCCAGACCTGGTCCCACATCTCTTGAGCAGAAAGGCTCATGTTCCTTCTCCCCCAGCGTCATCCCAGAGATTTTTTTGGGAAACCTTGTGGCTCTTACGGGTGCTGCACATGACAGGCAAAATGCTGTAGTGGAGCAAGTTCACACCAGCCTGAAGTTTCCAACAGGATATCTAAGCACCTTTATATCTGTGACTGAGGCATGGTGAAACCTGCCCTCTGTGTCCTACCACCCTTGTAGGGCGGATGCAGTGGTGGTCTAACCCATCACAGGAAGTGCTCTGCCAGCGCTGCTGCAGACACAGGTGCTGTCACAGCCCCATCAGCCTTCCCAGTGTTATCCTGGCCCTGAAAAGGAGCCTGGAGAGAAGCTGGTCCTTTAATGGGCTCTCACAGCATGGACAGCCAGTGGAGCATGCCAGCCCTGATGGGACTGCAGTGACAAAGTGCTGATCTGCAGGTTGATAAGGAGGGGCAGTGCAGCTAGGTGAGACTATCAGGCCAGCAGAAAAGCCATTAGCCTTTGTTCCTGGCCTCCACACACAGGAAGAGGGGCTGGGGACAGCAGGTGGGACAGAACTGCTGCCTCTGGGGTCTGCACAAGGGCTTTGCAAGCTGCTTTTCTGGACACCCTGCCATTTCAGTGATGGCATAGATTAGAAAAGTTCTGCAGTTGCTCTTTTGCTCAAGTAATCACAAAGTGAAGCTGCTGGTGGCTACAGTACCTAAGCAAGTTCCCTTTTGTTTTAAAATGCTCCTCTGTGCTGCCTTTTGTGAGGTGTCTAAAGGCTGCTCTAGGACAGAACAGAATACCAGTATTACCCCGCAGCTGGCACGAGAACATGCAACTGTCAACAGCATTCAGCAATTAGAGATCAAGTATTGTTTAGGGATTTCAGCTTCCTTCTCGCTGGAGATCTTTTGTGTCCTGGTGTGTGCAGACACCCTGTGTAATGGGAGACCCAAAAACACACCCTGAGCAGCATTGCTCGAGGGGGAGCTCGTCCTTCAGACAACAGCAAAATCCACTTGCATTATGTGTCCCCAAAAGTGACCCCAGTCACATGGAGCTCTGCTCATGCAGGGTAAGGGTTAAGGCAGATGGGCTTCTCTCTTCTTCCCAACGTTGTCTCTATCCTGCTGCCTGCATGGGTTCAAATGAGGTTGGAGAATGATTTTGTGTGGCCGTCAGTCTCTTCAAGACCATCCACAGCATTTTCCTGCCATCTGTCATTTTGAGAAGAAAGCACACAAGGAAAAAAGAATAAACTCAAATTATTGCCTAATCAACACCAAAATCAGTGCTGCTTGCTCAGCCTGCGGGCCACAATTAGATACCATCAGCAAATTTGGGCAGCTTGCCTGGGCTGCAGTCTTTCATCTCTTCAAGACTGACAGGCAAGCCAGGGATCTGCAGGCAGAGGAAGGAGCTGGGATCCGTTTGAAGGACTTGCCCGGCTCTTTGGGGAAAGACACATAATTTAAAACAGTAGGAAAAATGGACTTTTGTGTTTATGTTTGTTAATTAAAAGAAAACCATACCAGAGGAGGGGCTGTTTAGGCCTCCAGCCCCATCTCACAGTGTTGCCCTGGTTGTGCTTGCCTTGCCAGGAGGATGCTCTGGGTAAATCACTTTGGGAAATTAGGGAACATGTGTCACTTGAACATCCTTACGGCCTTGGCAGGGCCATCACATGTCTGTGCACTCATGTAGGATCTTGGTACCTGGTTTGAAGCGCACACCTTCCTCTTCCTCCTGTTCTGCACCTCAGCTGCTTTTCCAAAAGCCAAGAGCTGGAGCAAAGAGCGCACTGTGGCACTTCACTCACAGTGCCAGCTGGGGAAGGGCAATCTCAGAGCTGGGGAAGGGGTGAGGGGAGCACCCAGAGCCAGGAGGGAGGGGAGCAGGGATCAAGGTGCTCCTGCCAGGGGCAGGGAAGGGGTGTGGGACTGGGCAGAGCAGGGGGCTGGACATTGACTCCACTCCCCAGTCACACTGGCCTCCACATCTGCTCGTCCCTTGGAGGCAGGGCTCAGAGGTGCTCGGAGCAGCTCGAAGGAAAGGTGCTGAAGCCTGTCCCTCCTCCCAGGGAGGCAGGTGGGTTAGAGGAACAACCCTGCCGAAGCTCCAGAGCTCTGAAATGTGATCCTGCCGGAGGCACCTCCCTGGGCCCCACCTCGCCCTCTCCGACCTATATATGTGCCCGGCCTGGGGCGGGGGACGCGGCTGGCACAGTCCCCGGAGTCCCTGCCGATGGACAGGCCGAGGCACCAGGGCATGGCCAAGAACACGAACCTGCGCTGGCGGCTCCCGCTCGTCTGCCTCCTCTGGGAGGTGGCCATGATCGTCCTCTTCGGGGTCTTCGTGCGCTTCGGTGCCGAAGCTGACGCGCACTGGGAGGAGGAGAAACGAGAGATGAACCTGACTAGTGACATGGAGAACGATTTCTACTTCCGATATCCCTGTGAGTATTCTGGAAGCCTAATCCTTGTGCTGGCTGCTCCCCATCCCATCCATCCCATCCCAACCCGTTCTATCCCATCCATCCCATCCTGTGCTGTGGCAGAGCCTGTCAGAGGCGCTGACTCCTCCAATTGCTAGAACGCCGTGCTCTTGCCTTGAGGCTGGCTTGGGGTTCACCAAAGAACCAGAGAAAAACCTCACAGCCCTCCGGTGCCTTGAGGCTCTGTCAGCAGGGTACTGTGACGTCTTTTTTCCAGGAATAGGGCTGACGTGTTCCCAACACTCTGCAAGTTTCAGCTTTCTGCTCCCTCCCTCAGCCTTGGATCAGAGCAAGCCTTTCTGTGCACACAGAGGAACGGCTGTCGAGATCCTGTGACATCTTCCTCCTCTTCCTCTGTCCACCCCCTCACTTGTGAATTACCCTTTAGCTACTGGCATTTCAGTGCCACAGTCCTCCTAAGCTGCCAAGTTCCCAGGGTTCTTGGGTCTCCACATCGTAGTGACACAGAAATTATTCAGAAGGTTAAAGCTCTTCTGGCCGGCCAGTGCCTCTGGTTGGCTTTGATCTCCAGGGCTGGTCATCTTTGTGAGCCTTTCAGAACAGGCTGCTTCTGTAGGCAATTGTTTCCAAGGAAGCAACAGGCCTGAGTCATGCGTCTATTTAGAACATTTCCATTAAAAACACCTGCTAAATCAAAGGAGCTATAGCAACCTGTGGCTGCTGAGGATTAGCTAGTTGAGAAAAGGATTTTCTTACAGAAACCCACTGCTCAGTCAGCCTCCAGGTTCATGTATGGCCGTGGCTGCCCTGGGCTCTCCCTGGACGTCTGCCCTTGGGACCAGCCCCACACAGGCTGGCGTGAAGCAACAGCAGTGCCTGAGGGCTGCTCTTGTCACTGGTGTGCTGGGAGGACAGCAGGAGTCCAAGAAAGAGTGTGTAGGAGCTAAGGAAGTGACATCTCTTCTGTCCTCATATCCCACTCCTGCTCTGCAGTGCCAAATATTCCCCCTCAAATGGCAAAGATGGATTCAACACAACTAAATCAGTCTAAGGGCAACTGCTCAGTTTAGCTTTGAAATACATTTCTGTTTCAGGCCTGAGGAAGGGCTCACGTGCCCAAATGCACAGCTGTTCTTTCTCCCTTATCTAATCAGAAATTTTCTCTCTCTGCAAAGATGGACAAACATGACAAGGTGGCCAAGCCCTGGAATTTTAATCCTTGTGTCCATCCAGTGCTGCTGAGAATACTGTGGTGGCTGGTCACCCAAAGATCATTTGTACCAACATGTCTTTGAGCTCTGCTGTCCACAGCACCTGTCTGCAGTGGAAGAGGGATTAGAGTGATAAATGAACAGGTCCTTCAAGCCAGAGAAGATTGGGAAGGCAGGCAGAGGGAAGTTGCCCTGGTTTCAGGAAGCCAATACGTGGTTGTGTCAGTGGTGCCCATTGCCAGGTCCAGTCAGCGTGACAATTCCTTCTCATTTTGCATTGTACATGGATATTCTGTAGTCTGTGACTCATCTGCTCTCTAGGGGAAAAGAAATGAGGTTTTTTTTGTCCCTGAGAGCACTCCCAAAGCCCAAACACTTATTCTTGATAGTTATGGCAATTGTCCTGCCACACAAGCAGGCTTACAAAACCTGTAGGGCATGGCAATGCCTGTTCTGCCTCTGAATGATAACAATGTTATTCCTACTAAGGAAAAACAAAGGCAAGGGTTAGAAAAAGGTTTTAGATTGGGTGTGGTTTAAAGAAAGATCTGCTCTTCCTCCTGAGTTCATACAGGGTCTAACACACAATGGGATCCTCTGGGTTTTTGGAAGGCACGCAGCCCACCGCTTTAACTCTGACCTGTGTATTTCTGCTTTTGGGATGAAAGAATAAATATATGATGCAAATGGCATCAGATTAATCTAGCTGTATATTGTGCTGCTTACACTGGAAAAGAGAGAGGGGAAATAAATACAGCTGCAGATGAAAAGTCTATGGGACTGTGTGGTAAAACCACAGTAACTAAGATTGGTTCTTAGGACATGTGGAGAAGTGCTTTGGAAGTGACCTCTGCTGAGCACTGCCAGCTGCAGATCTCGTCTCCTTCCTTTTCAAAGAGTGATTTCATAGACATGGGGGACATTTTTAAAAGCAATCAGATTAGCATGGCACTACATGGCTTAAGCCTGTCCAAATGCTCATCCTTAAACATTTTTCAAGGTCTTCTAAAGCACAAAAGGACAGAACTCTCAGCTTCTGCAGAGCTGCACTTCATGCAAGTCTTCACCCGCCCTCGGTGGAAGTAGCAGACACAAGCCCTGTGGAAATGGACCAGGGTCTGATGGATTTCAGCACAGTTTCGGGGTAGAGCAGACTTGCAGCCACAGAATTTCCTTTGCCCTGAGCTTACATTCTCTCTGAGTGCACCGACTTTGCTGATGTAGTGGCTATAACGATTTGTGCACTGCAAAATGCAGAACATTCTGGTTTAGCTCCATCACTGCTGTATTTATCTGCTCTGCAGCATGGGTTTGCTGGCAGGAGTCTCCCAAGGGGGTTCCCAGCCTTGGGTGTCCTGTTCTTTCCATTGGCTGAGTGGCCTGCAGTGTTAGGGTTTGCATGGTTCAGTTTGTAAGTATGCAAGCGTTTCAGCTCACTTAATTGCAAAGCAATGCTTATCTGATAGAAAGGTGCAGCACTAAAAAGTTCAGCAGGTTTACTGCACCAAGAAGGTCTTTTAAGAGGCTCATACAGATCTGGTTTCCCCCAGGGAAGGGCATCTGAGGGGCTTGGGTGAGCAGGTCTGACCATTAGTGGGAAGAACTGGGTCTCTCTGGTTTAAGCACTAAAAAATCTCACACGGTGGGTTTCTGCTCTCAAGGGTATTTTGCCAAAGCATTTAAAAATGTATTTGTAAACTTTCCTTGTTATTGTGCTCTCCTTGCTCTGAGCCATCACCAGGACTCTACACTGAATGGACCTGCCCAAAATGACCATTTACGTGTTTTAACAAAACTTTACTGGTCATTTCACATGATGGCTTTGAGATTTTCACAAAAAGAGAAAAAACAATATGAATAGAAAATTGTTCTCCTTTGTACACTCCATTACTCTCAGGTCTTCTTTTGCACACAGCTTTTAGTAAACATTTACTTTAAAGGCTGAGCCTTTTAACCTAAAGCCAGTTTCTAAAAGCTGAGCCATTTTCAGACTTAGAAACATGGGGACATGAGGCAAACACACATTTTCTCTTGAATTTCTCTCTTACTGCTACTGACGTAATTTTTTCTTTTCAACACCAAATGCATGTGGCACTTGCAGCCCTGCTGTCCTCGCAGAGCTGACAGTCCCTCCCCTCTGCACAGCTTTCCAGGACGTCCATGTGATGATCTTTGTGGGCTTTGGCTTCCTCATGACCTTCCTCAAGCGCTATGGATTCGGAGCTGTGGGTTTCAATTTCCTCCTTGCTGCCTTTGGGATCCAGTGGGCTCTCCTGATGCAAGGCTGGTTCCACTCTTTCAAGGACGGGAAGATCCTCATTGGCGTGGAGAAGTAAGGAGGAGCTGGGCTCTGGGATGGCACCTCTGGCCTGGCCAGTGGAACAGCTGGAATGAGAGCCAAGCAGTTGGCAACACTGTCCCTCAGTTTTGTCAAATACAAATCAGTCTCTAAACTGTTGTTCTCCCTCCACATACTTCCACTTGCTTTCCACCAAAGGTACCTGCTATTGTGGTGGTACTGCTCAAAGGGAAACCTGAGATGAGTGTCACCCCTTAGTGCTGAGCCAGGCACCATGGATGTCAGTGCTGAGAACACATATCATCCACATTACCTGAATAATGTGTAAGGATGGGAGGGAGGTCAGTGGGAAGTCCAGGGATGTCTCCTAATCACTTCTTTGTCTTCAGATAGGATCTCTAGAGCTGGAGGTGGGTAAGAATGATTTACAGAGAAGTATTTCCTTATTAACACACATTTTTCTTTCCCCTTTTCCAGCCTGATCAATGCTGATTTCTGCGTGGGCTCTGTGTGCATCGCCTTTGGGGCCATCCTGGGCAAAACCAGCCCCATACAGCTCCTTGTCATGACTTTGTTTCAAGTCACACTCTTTTCAGTGAATGAGTACATCCTCCTCAACCTTCTTCATGTAAGGCTTTAGGTAGTATCTGCTTTGTTCTGCTCCTTCCTCTCTGCACCTCTCCAAACTGTCTCCCTATGCTATGGCTCCACCAAGCCACTGCCTTCATAAGCATTAAGAATGCAAGAATTGAGGCAGCAAAAGTAGTCAGATTGTGAAGGAGAGAGGCAGTGGGCCATACATCCCTGGGAAGGGAGATCTTCTAGGGTTTTACACATAAGCCTGGCAATCCAGGAGCACTGGGTCCCTCTGTCAAGTGCAGACAAGCTGGGATGATGCAGATCAGGCCTCAGCTCCAGAATGAGTGGCTATTGCAGAGGCAAACCTCTGTTTTCCCATGGCTGCAGGTAAAGGATGCAGGTGGCTCCATGACCATTCACACCTTCGGAGCCTACTTTGGCCTCACGGTGACACGGGTCCTGTACAGACCCAACCTGGAGCAGAGCAAGGACAAGCAGGGCTCCGTGTACCACTCCGACCTCTTTGCCATGATCGGTGAGTCAGCCCTCATCTCGGGGTGCTGCACCACGGGGAGCACTCGGCTGCACAGGGCTGGTTCCTCCTGTCTCTGGGAAAAACTGAACCCAGGATATGGAGCTGAGGAGCTCTGTATCCCAGAGGTCTTTCACATTTCAGAGTTATTCAGTTCCCTTCTTCTCAGCTGGGCTGAGATGGTGCCTGGGAAGATAAGGATGCATGTTGGTTCCCTTTCTCTGCCAGCCTTTCCTGATGCTGTCTCATCATGCGGGGTGTGGATCTGGGGAAGCAGAACTATGGGATGTAATGTCCCCCTGTGCAGAAGAGGTTTTTTTCAATCCCTGTATTCTCTCTTTTCCCTTTTTCTTCCTCATGCCATGTGCCCCATCCCACCAGGTACCCTGTACCTGTGGATGTACTGGCCCAGCTTTAACTCAGCCATTTCTGACCACGGGGATGCCCAGCACCGGTCTGCCATTAACACCTACTGCTCACTGGCTGCCTGTGTCCTCACCACCATGGCCTTCTCCAGCATGCTGCAAAAGAAGGGCAAGCTTGACATGGTAAGAGGGGAGCAGAGAGCCCTGCACTGCCCCAGGGACATATAATGAGGTTGATCAAGGGTCTAGGAAACAACTGGCACTTGTGTTTTGCTGAACATACACAGGGTTTCCGGGTATGATAGCGAAACCAGCATCCAGGAAGAAATTCTGAGGCTATATTGAATAAGAAAGGGGGAATGGGTCCTCAGGGCTTGAGGTGTGGGGTGATGCCCTGCCTGTGGTGGACCCAAGTCACAGCAGGGACTGGACTTGCTCTGCTGGGCACGTTGCAGAGCCCTTTTTGGCAGCGCTCCCCAGCAAACAAGGCCTGCGCAGCAGCTCATGAGCAATCGGGGGGCTGACTTGTACGTGTTGGATGTGTGGGTGACATGTCTCTGTGACAGCAGAGCTTGCACGACACACTGGTGAGACAATTTCCATCTCATCACAACTCCCCACCCGTATCTGTGGATGCAAAGAACATGTGTGGTACGGGGAGTGGGAGTCTATGTGCACCTGTGCTACAGACAGAAGCTGCTTGTTCTTTTCTTGTTTTTCACCACCAAGTAGGAAAACGGGCCCTGATATTTCCTCTGGAAACATTTTCAGAGCTGATTCTCCCACTTTGCCATTTGCACCAGCCCTGAGCAATTGCAGTGTCCCTGAGATGCCAAGGCAGAGTGGTTGCTCCTGCAGGTGCACATCCAGAATGCCACACTGGCTGGCGGCGTGGCCGTGGGCACCAGCGCCGAGATGATGCTGACTCCCTACGGTTCCCTCATTGTCGGCTCCATCTCTGGCATCGTGTCCACGGTGGGCTATGTCTACTTCACGGTGAGTGCTGCCCGAGGGGTCTGCAGCCCTGGTCCTGCTGAGGAGACCAGAAGTGCATTCACTTCCCTTTGACGGTTCCTGCTTTCCAGAATCCCTTATGAAATGCACTTCCGTCTCCTTTTACTGCCCAAAAATGCTCAGGAAGTTTCAGACTCCCAACAGGAGTGTGTTTGGAGGATATATTGTTAGTTTATCTTGAGCTTGGCTCACATCTTTGTCTACAAGCTTTTAGCTCTTTAATGGGACACTATCTCTCCTCTTTCTCTGCTTATCCCAGTCTCCCATGGAAAGAATTAATCCTTTCCAGGGCCACGTTCAACTCCCTTGTTGGAATCTGTGGTATTGATGATTCCGAGATTGTAGAAAGTCTCTGTCTTTCTGCCCCATTGCCAAAGAAGAAGCCATAATTCGTCTGTGCTGGTTTCAGGGTTGTTTATTCTGTTTATCTCTAACATGTTCTGCTGCCCTGCCGCAGCTCTGTCCTGCAGGGCAGCGTGTGGGGCTCTGCCCTCAGTGGGATGTTACAAACATTAAATACCAGAAACTACCTGTGCTGGATTTACAATAACGTGCCAATATCTGTCACCTACGTTGAACAGTGTGTTCCCAGCCTAAACCAACAGAAAAGTGCCAACACCACAGTGAAACATGGAGGGCATGAAGAAGGAGAAAAAGGACAAGACACACCCAATTTCCTCCATCTTGTCCCCTCTGAACCCCTGATCTAGAATCCTAAAATTTTACTTTCACACCCATGTCACACTTAATTATTACTCATATCAAACACTCAGAGCTTGTAATTCATCCTGTAAGATTGAAAACTCTTTTCCATGGACAGAGATCACAGACAGTGTCTCTGGGGGCTTTGTCCAGGGGGGTTCCCGACCCCTGCCAGGGTCCCAGACCTGCCAGGGCAGCCAGAGGGAAGCCCTGGATTCCCACACTCCCTGATCTCTCTCTATTTCCCTTCCCCTCAGCCTTTTTTGGAGTCTAGGTTGCACATTCAGGACACATGTGGCATCCACAACCTCCATGCCATGCCAGGCCTTATTGGGGGCATTGTGGGGGCCATCACAGCAGCTGCAGCCACCGAGGATGTGTATGGAAAGGAAGGGTAAGATGGCTTGAAAAATCTTCCCTGAGAATAGGTTTTACCTGAAGCTCTGTGGGCTGGGAACAGGGAGCAAATAACAGCTTTTGTTAATAGTTCAGAGTTGCCCAGAGCTATTCCTCACAAACATGGTGTGCACTGATTTTGTTTGGCTTACTGAACTGTAGCCTCATCTTATGCAGCTGACTCTTGGTGGCCTCATAAAGGGAGCCACAGTCCCGCTGTTAGGCATTATTCTGGGCCACAATGGGGAGGGAAGTGCCACTCCCTCTCCCCTGCATTGTTTTGTGGGGTCAGGTAAGGCGAAAAGTCTGAATTACAAAGAGAATGTTTACATTTTGGGCTCCTCCTTGGTAAAGGGGTCAGAGAAAGAAGTGAATGGTGTTTTGGTCATTGCAACACTGTCCTGGTCCACTGCAGAAGAGGGATGGGGCTAGGGAAGAGTTCCCAAGAGAGCAGGGCAACATGGTTCCTCTGGAGCCAGGGAATGCCTGCTGCCAGGGGCAATCATCACCATTTCTGCCCTCGGCAGGTTCATCAAGGCGTTTGACTTCACGGGCGTGTACCAGAGGCGGACACCCAGCATCCAGGGAGGGTTCCAGGCAGCCGGCATCGTGGTGTCTCTGCTGATGGCATTTGCTGGGGGGGCCATCGTGGGTAAGGCGGAGGGGAGCACGGAGAGGGGGGCGTTGAGCCAGCCTGCAGCTGGAACAGCGGCATCCGTGTGCGGGATGCACACAGCGGCATCCGTGTGCGGGATGCAAACAGCGGCATCCATGTGCGGGATGCACACAGCGGCATCCGTGTGCGGGATGCACACAGCGGCATCCGTGTGCGGGATGCAAACAGCGGCATCCATGTGCGGGATGCACACAGCGGCATCCTTGTGCGGGATGCACAGAGCGGCATCCGTGTGCGGGATGCAAACAGCGGCATCCATGTGCGGGATGCACACAGCGGCATCCATGTGCGGGATGCATCCTGTGGGGACGGCACCGAGCGCTGTGCCGGGGCTGCGTCTGCCCCCTTGGGTGGAGCACCCGCACCCCCGTGCCCACCGCCCTGCCCTCCTCTCGCAGGGGCCATCCTGAAGCTGCCCATCTGGGGGGACGCGGCGGCCGAGAAGTGCTTCGAGGATGACATTTACTGGGAGGTGAGGGGGCGCGGGGCGGGGGGCACGAGATGGCGCTGTCGGCCCGCGGCCCGGCCCGGGGGGCTCAGGGGGCTCTGCCGCAGGTGCCGGAGGACGAGGAGAGCGATGTGTACCGCATGCACAGCCCCGACAAGCCCGCCTCGCCCTGAGCCGCGCCCCGCCGCCGCACCCAGGGATGCTCTTCTCGCCGTGACCGCAGGGATCTGCCCTGCTCTGCTTTTGTATCGAGCTGCTGTGGATGGAATAAAGTCTTGTTCTTCTTTCCTGGCCTGTGCTGCCGTGTGTCAGTGGCCGAGCGGGGTGGGATGTGCGGCACAGCAGCTGCCAGGAGAGCTCTTGGCTGCCCGGGGCAAAGCAGAGGCTCTGGGACACTCCCGGTCCCTGGGGACAAAGTGGAGGCGTGAAGGGTGGCAACACAGGCTGGGTGTATTAGACAGTGTGTTAGATAATGCGCTCTGGGGAGATACCTGGTTTGGGAGATGGCACCTTGAGATGACAGCCCCCACAGCGGGGGTCAGCACCCGTGGGAAACACAGGCTGGGCTGGTTCTTTTTGAGGAGGGGATGCTGGGGTGCAGCAGCTGAGCCTCTACTCATTCTGCCATCCACGGTGGGGGTGAGGGCCACCTGTGAATCCAGCTACACTTCTACATGATGGCCTCTGCCACCTTCCCTTGAACTGCCCTGCCAAGGCTTCCATCAGCTCCTTGGGAACCTTGTTTGCATGTACAGCACAGACTGACAGGACCCTTTCCTCTTTTTTGGTTTCATCCATTTCTTCCAGTGTCATCAGATGGCTCTTTCCACTGTCTGGTGCTATTCTGACGGGAAGAGGACAGCCCCTGTCTCTTAGCTGGACCATCAGGCTTCAGCCAGAGTTGGAGGAAACAGGGATGAAAACCAGGCCCAAAATCCTGCATGTTTTCCAGGATGATATAATATGAGGAGCAGAAAAGGAAAAGGGAGGGGGGGAAAGGATGTAGGAGTGCTGATAGGTCTCTTCACTGCATCTAGCTGTAATTCTTACACCTGAGGGGGGGAGTCAAAAGTAGCTATTCACATCCCCTTGGGATATGACACCCTCATTTTCCATGCTGGGTAAAGACAAAAACCCTTTACAACATGTTTCTGGAATTTGTCAGCGGCTGCCAGCAGCAGCATGTTAATTAAATGTCGGCAAAGATGGAAGCAAGAGGCTCTGCTCTAATTGGACACTTTGCTTGGTGGAGCTGAAAAACATTGTGACAGAGGAGGAGGTGCCGAAACACTGTGTTCCCCTGCCATGGCGGGGACGGGGACAGCCAGGCACGGGAGACGCTCTCTCCTGTACACGCATTGCCTCCGTTTGGCCTGAAACAACCTCACCATTGGAAAAAGAAGACTAATAAAAGGCCTAAAATCCTCCATAGGATTGGTTTCAAGCACGGCAGCAGTGTTGGATGCAGGGAAAGGCTGGTTGGCTAAGGAGAATTTCAGAAATATCATAGCCAGGCCATCAGGAGCTCCAGCCCACTTGCCAGCATGTGGTGTATCATATATGTCTTTTATGATGGCAAAGGCAAGTCTGACAGGTCAGAAATGGTCTCTGGAGAATGATCCCTGCAGAAGCTGAAGCATACATTGAGCTGCATCCTTTCTCTAAGACAGGGATGGGAAAATGTAGGGCAAGTGTTTTCCCTGTGCTGGGATCTGCTGAAGGAGGGAGATCTTGTCCCAGCTTCTCTGCACGGGAAAGGGATGTAACAGCCATTTTCTGCTCACAGCTTCATCCAGACAGCACATCAGAAACCACCACAGGGATGTTTACTGACAGGCACCACAGACAATGTCATTTCAGAAAGGGAGTCCAAAACTTTTCCCCACAAGCCTGCAAAATCTGAAAGCAGAAGCAGACCTTTTGGGCACTGCATTTCCTCCTGTGTGACTGGATTGGTGTCCTTTCATCCCACACCATCTGAGTTCTGTCTGTGTCCCAGATAATCTGTGTGTTCAGCCTTCATGGGCTCTGATCTTTCCTCTCAGCAGCTTACAAGTGTCCATGGGGTTCAGTAATGGCAAAGACTGGGTGACCCTCATTGCTTCAGCCAGGTGGCCAACCCACACCTCTGGTGGGGCAGCGCTGTGAGCCCGGGGAGATGGTCCTGTCCCACGTGCACATGCTGGAAGAAGAAGCCCTGACCCAATTCCCTGGCCCTATGGGCTGTGCCTCCTCCTCGTGGGAAGACACCCAAATTGCCCAGGCTGCTGAGCAGTGAAGCGTTTTATTGCCCGTGCTCTCGCAGGGCTCAGTCTGGTCTCAGTACCTAAATCACTCACTGGGGCTGGCCGTGCAGTTTTAATTCCCTGGCAAACAATGCCGGGATCGGGCTGGCGCGTTTGAAGTGCGGTCGCGGCCCCAGCAGTGGACGGAGGGTTTCTCAACGGGGGAGCGTGGAGAGCAGAGGATTGGGCTGCTCCAGCAGGCGGGAGAACATGTGAGAAAGGGGCTGTGGATACTCGCGGGGATTAGGTGGTACAAATTGGCTGGGAAGCACCGGAGCCATTGACCAAAGTTGTCCTGGGGCAGGTTCCCATGGGGGGGGTGGCTGAAACAACCTGCCTTCAAGGAGGCTGGAAGGCCCAGCCTGGCTGCTAATCCCCTGGGATCTCTGTGGCACGGAGCAGAAAAGAGGTTAAAAAAAAAGGGAAAATCTCATGTAAAGGTGGTGGTTTCCCCAAGGGGATGATGTTAGAGAGAGAAGGGAGGAGGTGGGGGGAGGAACAGCATAGTTTAATCCCTCTTTTAATAGGCAGGTGGTGGGCTTTGCTCGCACTCCTGCTCCTGCAAGCTGCTGCAGAGATTTTGGCAGAAGGCCTTTGCTCACCTCTGCTGCCCCCCACTCTTGGTGGAGAGGGTTCCCATCTGTGGATCTGCCTGGGACAAGGGCGCTTGCCTGCTTACTACATCTGTGCCCGTGTGTGTGTTGGTGTGCACGGGCACACGTACATGGTGTCAACCCCAGATTTGGGCTGAAACGGGCTCATTGCACACCCCAACACCAGCCACGGCGTATCTGCTGCTGGCCGTGTGCCCACGTGTGCAAAGCCACATGTCCCCAGCGCCGTGCCCTCAGCCTTCTTGCCCTTGCACGGCTGGCACGCTGAACACCACGCTGCAGCGCTGCTGGTGATGCTCATGTGCTGTTGGCTGTGGTGCCACCGGGCACATCCTCCCACCTGTGCCACGCACACCCACCCACCCACCCACCCAACTTTGGGCCGGGCGAGCGCCTGCGTGTCCGAGCCGGCGTGTCCACGGCTGCGTGAGCGCCGCTCCAGCCCCTTCTGAAGGAGCGCTGTAAATTGTAATCAGATTAGGGCAGCCGGTCGCTTAGGGCCCTTGAAAAGGGCATACGTCCCCTCATCAGTACCTAGCATTGAGTCGCACAAAGGGTCTAAGTAACTCGGCAGGGGTCGGGCCCTCTGGAGCGCAGGGGAGGGGGCTCGCCTTTCTTTTCTCTCTGTCCCTTGTAATTATGTCAATTTGCTAGCCAAATTGTTTGCTTGAGTGGACAGTGGGGGCTTGCCCCCCTTCACACCTCCCCCCCACCCCTAACCCCATTCATGTGCTAATGTGGGAAGGAGCATGGCCTCCTGACTTCGGGAGGTGGCCGTCAAGGAGCAAAGCACAGGGGGGCATGGGCCAGGAGCCCCCCATTTATGTGCCCATGGATGGCTTGGCCTCGCAGCCCTGATCAACAGGGCTCTCCTGGTTACTTTACCCCACGGCAGGGTGTGCAAGGGCCGACCAGCCCCAGCCAGCCCTGGTTTTCTCTGGTCACCCCTCACCTGTGCCACATGCCCGCTCTGGCCGCGGCATCCCCAGGGCCAGGAGCCGTGCCCTCTGCACTGCGGCTTCCCCGGCACACCTCCCCACCCGCGCACCTCCCAGCATTTGCATATATTCTGCCCGCAAATCCTTGTCAAGGGGACCCTCTTTATTGCCTGTATAGATCACAGGGTGTTAGTTAAGGGGCTTCTTTGTATTGCCTCAGACAGCTGGGGTCATCAAAAGTCCTGTGGTGGGAAGGAGAGACAGGAGGAGGGGGGAAGCTCTGACAATACAGACTGAAGGATTAAAGGAGCATATAAAGTTCCTATTGAGTGAGACAAGAGGCTGTTCACTCCCAAGATTGACAGCAACCAGGAGGCGATTCCCAACACAATGTCCAATTAATTCTCTACCCTCTTCGCTGCCGTCTCCTCCTCCCTCTTCTCCTGGGCTGGGGCATGAGCAGGGAAGGGCTGAAGCTAAGATCCTTGAGAAGGTAATTAATTATTCCTGACTAAGAGGAGCTTGCCAAGGTGAAGGCCAGTCCCCAGGCTCTCTGGGCATCCGTCCCCCTCCTATCAGTTTGGGCCACTTCAGAGTATTTTTCCTCTCTAGCACAGAGCTGCTCCACCAAAGGTCCATCTTTGTGGCATGTGCTGGACAATAACCTGGGCTACTACTACTGAGCCTGGAAGAGGCAGATTCAGGGCTAAAACCAAGCTGACAGTGGAATGCAGCAGGACAAGGCAGCAGGAGGAAAGCCAGGGAGCAGGGCAAGGTGCATGACCAAGATGTATGGGCATGCAGAGAATCTGGGGAGTGGCCAAGCAGCATGTGCTGGGCCTGGGGATGAGATTTTACCTGTGTATGCTATGGAAGTGGTTAAAGCAGCTCCACCTGCCCTGGTTTTGTAGGGAGAAGCGGGTTTCTGGCAGTGGGGGTGCATTGCCACTGTTCCCTGGGCTGGCCAGACACACTGGCCCCAGTGCTGGGCGTAGCAGGACATGTAGGAGGTATTGTAGGGCACTGCATCTCTTTGATATACCCCCATGTACAGGAGCAGAATCTGGGCTACCATGTGAAATTTCTGCAAGCCACTGAGTACAAAATTGTCTGACTTGGCTGGTCTGGTTTTTCCCTTACAAACACCTCAGCCCAGAGGGAGGAAAGCACCTTTCTCTGAGCTGGCCATCTTTTTCTTGGTACTCTCTGTGTCGATGAGGCTCCCAGAACATGAGTGGCCAAAGTCCTTCAACAGTGACAAACATCTTCAAACCACCTCATTTGGGAGAAAAAGCCATGCAGCCAGGACAGCCTGTTCTCACCACAGGGACATTTTGGCCATCCTGTCTTCTACTGCTCAGCAGTGACCCCTTCCCCTCTGCCAGCCCTGCCCATGGCACCGAGGATGCCCGGGCCAGCACGGGCTGGGGAAGCAGTGCTGCCCTCCCTGCACACCTCAGGAGCAGGGGATGCCCTCAGGATGCCGGCATGGGGCTGCCAGTGGCTCGGCATCTCCTGCCCGCTCCCTCCCGCCGCACACGCTCCCAGTGAAGTTGTTTGAAAGTCTTCCGGCAGTTTTCACGGCCAGGAATAACAGATTAGCCATGATCTGATCAGCCCAGTATCTAAGCTGTATTCTCCCTGCTGACAAGTATTTGAAAGAGGGGAGGGGCCACTTTCAGCCCAACGATGAATCTTTCACCGACAAGAAAAGGCCCTTTTTTCTCCCTGCCAGCCGTGCCCTGTTGCTAAGCGAGACCCGGGGCTGCTGCTTGCACGCGGCCGGCTCCAGCCGGGCCCTCGGGTTAGCAGGATCAGGATATTCACACCAGACATCTTGTTTTTTAGGGAGGATGTTTCTTTTCTCACCCACCTCTGGCTGGCAAATAACAGCTCGCCAGCGAGGCCCAGGGATGCTCCTGCTGAGGCAGCTTACCCTGGGAGGAAAGGGAAAATGCAGAAGCTGTTGGAGGGCAGACTGGGGCATTGGGGTCAGGCACTCAGCCCTAAATGTCTGGGGTTTGCTACCACTCATGGGGCTGTCCCTGTCTGGGCTGTGGAAGGGCAGCCACCCCACAGCCCCCATGTTCTGGTGGTTTTGGGCACAGTGAGACCATGGGGACATGGACTTGGGGGATGCTTGGTGCTGGTGTCTGAGAAAAACCTGGCTTGGCCTCATGCAGGGTTGGCTCTGGGCATGGTATTGCAGGGAAGCATGTGGCAGAGGAAATAGGAGGCTAATCTCCAGGTTTGGGATGCTTTTTTAGTCCCCACAGCTTCACTCTGCTCCAGAGCACCGTCTTATCCTGTCAGCACCAGCCGTGTGACCCTGAGAGAAAGAAGGGAAAGGACTAAAACAAAGGCTTCCAGGCTATTTCTGAAGCTGCCAGCATGAGGTGCCCTCGCCTAAGACATGGTGCTCACATCTCCCTCCTCCCTGCAAGGCAGCGGTACAGGCAGGACTGCGGGCTGCCAGGGCCTGGGCTGGCACCTTCTCACAGCCCTGCCCGCCCTGCCTGCCCCCGCTCACAGGCAGAGTGTGGGGGGGAGGAAG